TGACCAATTATAATACCCTATGCGAGGGCATGAAAAGTGATGTGTACACAATGTGAGCGATATCTATAAATATCAATGTTTGTGATAAATAATGCAATAGAAATTGTGCGGGTCTCACCATTGGAAAGCAGAGGCGAAAGAGTGGTTTTGCTGTGGGTGGGGAATGGTTGGGTGGTAGTTGGGTAGTTGTTCATCATAAGTTGCGGCCAGGCAGCAAAGCACGAGAATCACGCAGAATGCACGCAAAGAGCGCCGCTCGGCGGGGTCGCTGCTTTAGCTATTTATTTATTTATGAATGCGGCAAGTTAGTATGTGAATATGTGAACACACACTTATATATACATATATATATATGTACATATGCGCATTGGAGCTTATATAGTTGTTATAAGTTATATACAATCGCAGCAATCGCTGTTGTTTGGTCGCCTGGCAATGATGGAGGCCATAAAGACGCCAAACACTGAGTGTATATGGGTACTCGTGTGTATGCATGTGAGTGTATTCAACACAACGATTAGCGCACAAGATGCAATGAGCTGCGAATATTGACGCAGTGCAATACTTTATCAATAGTAAGTCTATATATAAAACAACTGTTTTATTGCGGCACAATTATACAATACACATACGCCCCGTCTGCCAGTGTCTGGCACTAGGTTAGAGTTCAATGGAACGTGCTCTTGCAACTCTGTTGCTTTATATCTGAATAGTTGAATATTGTCTTGTTTTGCTTTTAGTTGGATTTTGATTGTTGATAAGCGTTGGTTTCTCCATTTATTTTCGCATATCTATTATATGCCGTGATTGACTGCAGCTGGCTGATATTAAAACATCTGTTAACAATTCCAGTAGTTTGCGACTGCATTCAGCTAAAATACTCAATTCCATAGCGCTTACTATATATATATATATATGTCTGAAGACCATATGTACAGAACAAACATTGCCAAGGTTAATCACTCATTTGTATTTACATCTATCCGCCCAACAATATGTCAATTTTGCTAATTTTAATTACCTAAAGATCCGTTTCGATACGTCACCAACTTAAATATGTATCGCTATTTGACATTTTGCCAGCAGCAACACATATTTTGCGTGTTTTTTTTTTGCAAAAAAACATCTTTTAGTTTTAGATATTTCTAAAATAAAATCGACTCGTAAATTTCCTGGGTCTGATTTAGCTAGATTGAGGTCATTATTTTCTATTTGTGCTGGTAAACGTATATATTTTATGTTCATTCTGACAATTAGCAAGTTCACAACTTCAAAACTACTTTTAACTAACGTGAGAACAAGTTTGTGATTAGTTTACTTTACATACAATGAACAAATTATAGTGCGTTAAGTAATAGGTGAAATTTGGCTTTAAAAATATTTATTTTTATTTTTAACATCTAAATGTTGATCAAATAAAAAAACCAAAAAGTCAATATTCAAATCCGCCTTATGCAAAAGAATAATAAGAAAAATTCTATTGGTATAAAAAGCTTTGGCGTACAAATCTGATTAATCATTTCGAGGAAATAAATTTTAAAAAATTTATTAATCGTATAAATTGTGTCCATAATGCGTTTTCAATGACCGTTTCTCCCACAATGAATTGGAACTGACCACAAATTTAGCTTTGGCTTGCTTCTCATTTGTATGTCTTGCAACAATTCTAATTATAAGCGAAACTGTCTGAACTTTATTATACATTATGATCGTCTGTAAGATTTCTTTGTTATTATTTGTCTTCTCGTTTTTCTTTTACCCTAGCAGAAATCTCATCATTTTGTCGTCAGATTTATCATGCTTTGAATGAGATGTGTCCAAGCATATAAAGTTGTATAATGTATATTCTTGATGAGCATTATTAGATATGCCCTCAAATTTTAATCGTGAAAAGCTTGGAATATGGACATATTTTTGCTGCAGGCACAACATCGTGTTGCCCGTATGAAAAATCAGAGTTTTCAGTTAATTTCGAGTTTTATTAAAGCTAAAATCATTAGCATCGGCATACTATATAGAATGGTTAACAATTAAATATAGCCAGCAGCTTAACTTCGGTCTGCAAGGGTATTCAAACTTCGCTGAGCTCAAAATAGCCATTCTATTCTTCGCTCTTGCTACAATTTCACATTTGCTCGCGTTTGAGGTTTAGTGTATGTGTTTGTGTTTCAATCTTAACGAGTTGCCGCCGTGTCTTACATTTCCGCTTAGAGAGATATGGCCGCTTCAGCATTTGGGCCTTACAATATGCCAAACACGTCGCCGTCGCTTATTAATCTATTTGATGAAATCTTTCACGAAGCATGCTCACATTTTCAGACGTTACGTTTCAAAGTTTTCTCAGATTTGTTGGCTTTATTTTTTTTTGGTAGTTTGTTTATTTGTGTGCTTTTTTGTGGCCTGAGGATGTTTGCAAACGCTGCTCCTCAAATGTTGTTTAATTTCAAATTAATTTATGGCCAAGCGTCATTATTAATGTTCGGCTCGTATCTATTCTGGAGGGGGGTCATGTCTTTAAAATCGAAGGTCGATTGTTGTGGTTATTGTTGTTGTTGTTGTTCTAAAAACTGCTAGACAATGGCGATTATCTTTCAATCTGAAAACTGCAAAAATATATATATATACAATAAAAGTAAATACGTGGATGCGTATCTTTCAATCAATTTTTTTAAACATTTAACAAACTATTAAACAATAGAGGGCGACCAAAGTCTTCGAGCTATTATTATTAGCGATGAGGTCAACCCGACATTGCCTTGAAAATGTATTGATACACGTATGTAATAGGCTAATGATATATGTGTATCTTTTACATTTAGCACACAGCAAATCACCCTGTAAACTATCGATTAAGCAGACACAAGGCGCGAAAAGCAAGAAATAAAAAAAAAATATGTAAACATGTCAGAATCAAACTCGTGTGTCTAATACTTAATGTATCTTCTGCACCATATCTTGTCTGTGCTCCTCCACTTCTGCACTTCTTCCCCCCTGTGCCTCTTCTATGATTTTCGCTTGCTCTGCAACGAGTGATTAGACACAACAGGCAGTGGCAAATGTTATGGCAGCAATAAAACCAGGTTACCAAATGCAGCCAGACACCACATAAAACTCGCCAACGACATACTTTAAAATCAGCACAGAAGCGCACAGAGAAATAACATCAATAAAATGCGAATAGGCCGCCAACAAAACAAAAACAGTAGATGCAAAAAAAAAGTGAGTCTGCGATTGATGAAGTCTATGAAAACGATTTATTCTAGAGTTCTCGTTGTTGAGCTTCTTTTGTTAGAAAGTTGTCTCCTTTTTTTTTTTGATTTACTTATTCTATGTAACTGTAACTTTTCTATATGTGTCATTTGAAATTGTACTAATCAAACTTTTAATTTCTCAAAGGATACTTTTACGATTAGGTTTTAATTAACTCTTGGAAAAAAAAACTTGAGATTTACTGCTATGCAAAAGTTGCATCTAAAAAAAATTTAGTTTGCTCCAACTTTCTGTCAGAAATTTGAACTTTGTTTTCTTTCCTAGATACTTTCAAAAGAACATTAAATTAAATTCATTTGAAGTCTGTTTTATTCTCAATATTTACTCATTTTCGATATAACATAATAATTCTTAGCAGTTATTCTATTGTCATTGTCGTTTTGCAATAATTGATGATGGCTGCAACCATAATTAAAATAAAAAAAGTAAAACCTGCAATTAATTTTTAACCAAATTTCTTGTAGATATTTGACACACACGAGTGATTTTCTTCCTCCCAAATGTCACTAATAATTACAGAAAAATACTTTAAAAGGAACAAATAATTAAATAGGTATTAACACTGTTTTATTCTAAGTATTTCTTCTTCTTTTTTGGGCTTCTGTTAATCTACGCGATAACATAATAAATGTGTGCAGCTCTAAATATTTTCATGATCAACTACGATCAACAACAGTATCTTTTCCATGAAATAAACTCACAGTATGCGAAATTTCACTGATAAACCTAATTTGAAAGTTCTACATGGACTTTCTACTCGATTTTATTGTAGACGAAGACTAACATTGTCTGGCATCGCTTTTAGAGTTCTGTTTGATTTGCAGCTTATCTAATGCTGCTCTGGAAATCAAGTTTGCCCCCAACCCCAACTGAGACTAGAACTGAAACTGCGACTGCGACGGCGACGGCAACGGCAACGGCGACTGTGGCTGCGACTGAGCCTGAAGCGTGAAGCGCAGTTGCGTTTTTCGTTACGTTTCGCTGCATAGCCAAGAGGCAGGGGCGGGACAGCGACGGAGGGGATAGTGGAGAGGGACAGTGGAGAGGGAGAGTCGACGACCACCCTCCCTGCCAATAAAAAAGAGGTTTCATATATACGAAGTTGTAAATAAGTAGGAGCTGGCGAAATAAACGAGGCAGCCACTGCATAAAATTCCACAGCTCGACACGCACACAACCACACACACACACACACACCCCGTAGCACAGAGGAGAGTGGCAGCTTGTGGCAGCTTCTGTGCCGCAATGTCTGGGCAGGTGCTGCGATATGCTGCGCTGGGCGAGCACGCTTCTAGCCAGGCTGGTCTGGTCTGGTCTGGCCGGAACGCTTGACCGGCTGATGAAGCAGCGGCCGACTCAACTGACTGGCCAACAACTTCTATTTTAGCGTATTGGAATATTTTCCGGTTCTTGGCAAGAAGAGAGTGCAGACAAACTCCACCAGCCGCAAGTCGTATTTAATTTAAGCAAAAAAATACCCATACAATAATAGTATAATACTATGATACATTTCGTGGATATATAATTCTTTACAAAAAGTATTTATAATAATGGTTTTCTTTAAATAAAGTTACTATTTGGATGTTTTCCAAAGAATCTGCCAAATTTAATTAATTCCAACCACAAGTCACATTCAAATTAGTTTAAACAATAAATACTTATAAAATTATACTGTGATATGCATAATAAGTCATTTAAAATATATTTATGGTAAATTCATTTAAAATTACTTTGCTATTTGGCTGTTTTCCAGAGAATCTGCAAAATTTAATTGTTGTTATTTATTATGTATTTTTTTGGTAATTTCACTTGAAGCGATTTTTAATTATTATTTCGTTTGGTTTAACTGTTTAAAGATTTTCCACTTTTCTGCGGCTACTTTCTGCTCAATGAAATTTTCATTTGCACGAGAGCACAATGAGGGCGCACCGTGGTGTGGAGAAGCAGAAAAACAAAATGCACACACACACACACACTCACTCACACGCTATTAGACACTGGGTGCACAGATATATCGTACACGAGACACGAGACAAAGTGTTTGTTTAACTGTTTTTGTTTATTACTTTGTTAGGCGGCAAAGTTAAGCGTTGAATCAATGCGAGTTAAACGCGCAACCGTTGAGCACCATGAAAAGACTAAAACTGAACTGAAAGCTAAACCGAACCCGGAGCCAACTGCAGCTGAGAGATACACATAAAATGTTAACATGCCGGTGTCAGCACACAATGCTAACAGCAAAAGAGAGGCGCGAACATTATGTTAACATACTGTGCACATAGCCAGAAGTCCGCTGTCTTTTTGTGGGCTGTGTGTTGATAGACTGTTGATTTGTGGGTTTTCCATGGAGCGATTAATGACAAGAGCTCAGCGGATGGTCGCACAATATGTTGTTGAGCTTCGATGAGCTGACTTAGTTGTTGTTGCTGTTGTTATTAGCAATGATTACAGAGCGCTGGAACGCAGAACTCTCACTGTGAGATCTCCATTTAATTTGTTAGTTATGCATCAAAAGTGAGCAACATTAAATCTGTATTCCAACCGGTATATTTAAAGACTTGACAGTCATCACATATTTCATTATCATATCAATATAAGACTTTTGTAAAGAGTATATATGTAAATACATATTTATAAATCGCGATGTTAACTTTAATATGGTCCATTGAAAAGGTTTAATAATTTAATTAGGAAACGTATTCAAAGTGTATAATATCAATAAAATACAATTAGTTGAATGAATAAGATTTATTTTTAAGCTTCTATAATTTCTCGTGTTTAAATCGTCATTTTGTTATATGATACTATGAATAGCTTTGTAAAGCTCTTCAAGCAAATAAATAAATCTAAAATCTCTAAAATAACAATTAATTAAGTATGTATATCCGCTTACAATCAATAAAAATATACTCTAATAATAATAATAATAATACTGAAAAAAGAAATATAGCAAAATAAAAAAATCTACTTTCACTTAAGTTTAAAAATATTTTATTACTGAATTTTTCCCGTTCTTTCATTTTTTCCCGTATTTTTTTTTATAATTAATTATTTATAAGCAAAACCCTAACTCTTCGTGCAACCATCTTTGGATTGCTATAAGCCAAATAAAAATACAATTTGGTTCACTCTTCGTATACTTTCTTACACACTTAGTAACTTATACTATTGGAATTAGGCCAGTCGTACCCCAACTGCCCCTTCTCCCTACCGCACCGTCGATAACTCAATGTGCGGGCATCCCATGGCGTTAAATGTCACGCTGCTGAGCATTGGCAATGGCCATGGCCACGCTTAGAATGCCAGCAACAAAAGGTGCCGCCGACGTGCAACAAAAACAACAAAGGCACTTGCAAACCAAACGGGTCAAAATTACAGTTGGAGCTGAGAGCCAAATGGATGGATTCAGCGTGATAGACACAGCGGGAAGTCTGCAGCAGCACCAACTGGAATGGGTTAAGCAGAGACAGCAGAGAGGAAGCGAGAGAGTGGGAGCAGCAGCTGTTAATTAACAGAGGTGGCTAGTGTCGCTGGCAGGTTTATGGACACGAGTCAATATCGGCTTTAACTGATAGATAGTTGTTTGGAATTGGCTGAGTTTTCACAAATGTAACAGTTGTCAGTCAAATCTGTCAGCGGAAGCATTTAAGACAATCAATAAAGAAATATTGAAGCACTGGCAGCTCCTCAGTTTGTTGTCTCTCTCTCTCTCTCACTCACTCTCTCTCTCTCACACTCTCTCTGTGCCTTGTCTTTTTAGCATTAAGTTTTAATGAGCTGCCGTTTTGCTCTTTCGACCATTTTCTTTTTATGCTTAGCATCTACTTACGCTTATAGTATATGCATGCTTTTATACTTGAGCTATGTTTTGTTTCATTTTGTGTGTTAGTTGTGTGTCTTTGCCATTAGGCATTGTGGCATTGTCTTCAGGCACTGGCTCTAGATAATTATGTCTAACTTGAGACGAACGTTTACCCATTGTTGTTGCCATTCATTCTTCGGCTCGCAAACTAATTAAATATTTATGCACTGGTATTTTCAGCTCTGCATTTAAATAATGTACGAGGTCTTTTCGTCATTTTCACTTTTTATACCGAGGCATGAGCATTACATATAAAGATAAAGAAGGCATTTTCTTGCACAGCCCACACAGCGTATGAGCAATTTTGATGAATTTAAATATTTAATGCACACACACTTAACAAAACACATACACACCCAAAAGCATTGACCCTTCTAGCCCAGTTCAGACATGTCCTGAGCCCTTGCTCTCGAGCCGTATTCGTCTATTTTTTGTTTGAGTGCTTGTGCTCAAGAAGCATTGAACTTTTGTGTTGCTGCCCAAGTTCAAGAGTTCATCGCAGGCAACGACAGCATCTGTTGTTGTTCTTAACCCAAAGTCAATATTTTCTAATGTACCTTTGATTGCTTGCTCCATGAGGCATATTGCAGAATATTTAAAATCTGTAAAAGAATAACAATTAAAATGAAAGCATTTACATTATTTTTTATTATATTATTATATATAATTTTATGTGTATATGCTTTGGACAAAAATCCATAACAAATCGAACATATTATACACTTACATTTATTTTATTTTTCTGAAATTCTGGATTCAAATAATTTAACCATCTCAAGCTTTGCTCACATTTGAAAAATGAAATATAAATTATTGTTATTCTATTGTTTTTTCGAATTTATTCTTAGGTCATCTCTTAGTTTATCAACTAAATAATTTCTCATATGCTTAACATATTTTGTTGTAGCTATGTTTGGAGGTCTTGTTGCGCTTTTGTTGTGCGGTTAAGCCATTGTGGCATATAACTGCCCTCCTTACTTGACTCACGATTCCCAACACCCTAGTCCCGTCTCCCACTCATCTTAATGTCGTCTGGCCGTTGTTTTGGGCACTTGAAGGTTCCTTGACGCGACTTCGCCAATGCTGCAACACAATGGAAAAGTCGCCCTTATGCTTTCGTCGGTTGGCGCTGCCATTAATTCCATTTGGCCCACCCACCTACCAACACCGTCTGCTCCCCCATGGTGTCTGTGTTTGTCTGCTTGTGTGTGTGTGTTTGTGAGTGTTTGCCCAGCACCTCAATACTCCCATCCCGTCAAAAAAAATTAGTAAAACAGTCGCGACGTTGTCTGAGCTTTTGATATTTTTTTTTTCTCCTTGTGCCTTGTTTGGTTTACGAATATTCTGGCATAATTAATGGTCAGTTCGTCAGTTCATCAGTTTCGCGCCTGAGGGGACGGGCGTTTACGCATAATTATCTCCGATTTAGTATGCGATATTTGCAGAGTTCATTGGGCAGCGAATGTGTCAGCTGAGCTGTCACAGAGTGGGTGTTTTATTCATTTTCTAACCAGTTATTTTCGAATTGAATAATTATTAAGTCCTAATTATTTTTAATAAAACATTCTGCCCAGACTAATGGCTAAGTCATAAATTTGTAAAATAAAAATTAATATTAAGTACTTTCAATTTAGCTATAACTGCAAGAGCTCAAGTTCAAACAGTTTAAGTGTTTGAGTTTGGTTTGGTCTCTAGATTAATAGAATAATTATTAATTATTCTAATAATATTTGTTTTTTTGTTGCTAGGTGAACGTTGTAAACTCAGTACAAATATTACATTTTTTACCTAATTCTTATTTATAGTTTAGCTTGTTAAATCTGTTATATATTATATACAAAAGCTCTATTAAAGTAAACACCGCATAACATAAAAATGTAGCTAATCCTAAAGAGGCATTTTTTCAGTTTCCATTGTTGTGGGCTTAATATACATTTTTATGGCTGATTGATTAAAATTATAACAAGCGGGAGCGCAAATAAGCCTACATTTATTTATGAGACAGCTTAAAGTTAAGCAGTGTCGTGGCGAGGATTCTCAAAATAAATAAATATTCGTTTAACATTTATGTAGATTTGTTCCCCCGTTCTTAATTAGCTTAGCTCCGCCCCTGTGATAGCCACAAACAAGTCGAGCATCTTGGCGGCAATTTATTTTACTGATTTTTCCATGTCGCCACAGACAACATTCATTCAGAGTGCGCATCATTATTAAAGTTTTGCATAAACGAGTCGACCGAAAAAGTTAGTTAGAGAATGTAGAAGACCAGTGAAGTCCGAAAACCAGTTTTGGTTCACCTGCACTGCTTTGTAGACAAATTAGATGCGTTCGACAGGTGGAGGATGATGTCGATTCTAAGCTGCTGCCACATTCAACCCCAGACACTGGTGATCAGTGTGTTTGTGTGGGTTCGTTGGTTGCTAAATTTCCATTAAGTTAAATGCACGAAATTTACGAGTTTTCGCGCACTGCACGTGCAGATGTGCTTTTCATGCTTTACGAGCATTGGGCATTCAAAAATTTGAACTCTTTTGACGGTGTTATTGAACCCTAGCAGAACCCATGGCGTTGTCCTTATCGTCGTCGTCGTCGTCGGCGTCGTGCCAAATGACTTTGAAACAAAAACAATTTCGATTTGGGAATTTTCTTGCTAGCTCCACTGCTAGGCTTTAAACAACAAAACAACATGAACAGCACAACAACAACAATAACACCACCCACCAAACATGGCAGTCATAAACTATTCGCAGAATAAGGCAAAGCAGACAATAAAAAAGAAAAAAGCATAAATAATTTGTATCCCTCAGATACTTGAAATAGTTGCCTTCCTTTTGGCCCAGGCACACAGCCATTGAACTTAATGCAATTTGCTGGCACGAAAATTGAAAGCGACTAAAATCGATAAAATGCTTTAAACAAGCTCAAAAGTATGCAGCAGCAACAAAAGCTGAAGTACAACAAAATGTGGTTGTTGCTGCTGCGATTAACTTAAATAACATGGCAACAAAAAGCTGTGCCAAGCCAAGCACCTCTCTCCACTCCAAGTCTACCCTCGACCATCCTGTGAATTAAAAGCATTAAAATCGCTTGCAACGCCAAACTGAACATGCAATTTGAGGCGCTCATTTGCAGAAGTTCGCGTTGCTGTTGTTTTTGTTCTTCTTATTGTTGTTGTTGTTGGCAGTTTGCACTGTGAGTGCACTCTCACTCACACGCACACACACACACACACAGGCACAAAGTTAGCGGGGTCTAACACGCTGCACACTTGACTAGCAGCAGGAGTGCTCCCTGCCCTGAAATATGCAATGTTTTTTGCTGCTATTGTGGGACTACTCTCAAGCTCACATTTCGCCCACTTTATGGCCCCCAAATGTTTATTTATTTTTTGTTGTGCTACGGATTTTTACTTTTGTTGTTGTTGTTGCCTGACTCCGCTTTGCTTTTGTGCAATGTGCCCGGGTGTTTTAATAAACACTGTGAGTCTGTATGTTGTGTGTGTGTGTGCACATTTCACTCATATATATATATAGAAGTGTGCGTTAGTGTGGACTGTTGGCGACCCTTTTTGCATTTATCGCTTCATTTTTTCATTAACATTTTCAAGTTGAGTCAACTTCAAATTTTAAAGTTGTAACTCCAAAACGACGCATGCGCCGCCATTTTGTTACCAGAGGGAGAGAGAGAGCGCGCTCTGTTAAGCTAACAGCACACTTTTGGAGCTGCTGTTACAGCTGTTCTGCTGTTGCTGTGTGCAATTTGGGCGTCTGGTCTGATGCTATTTTTAGACATTTTTGGCTTCTACTGTGCCCAAACCCTAAATACGCACTTATATGTTAAGAAATTATGGGTGTATGTGTGTACATACAGACATTCAGATGTATGTATGTGCCGGAGTTGGGTTAGATAAAGACCAGGGATAAAGGAAACTTGGCAACATGTTGAGTTAAAATGCGTATCAGCAATATTATTAATTTTATTATTTTTATTATGGATTACTAACTGCCCATTCTAATACATTCAAAATACACATGAGAAGAAGGTAACTCACATTTAAAATCAATACAAATTCGGCGAAATATCATAAATATACGATTGTAAACATCAATTGCTTGAAGCTATCTGAAGAGATTTATTTCTACTCATCAGATAACTTCTGAAGAGATTTATTTCTACTCATTAGATGCCTTCAAGCAATTTATGTTTACTATGGAAGTGACCGCATTCTAATAATAGATAGATAAGTGTTCTTCTAATTTCAAATTTCATCTATTAAATTTCATTTTTAATTGTTTTGTTCATTTTCCCTGTTTATTGCTTTGACTGATTTGCTCATTTGCCATAATTGTTCTCTTGTTCATTTAAAAAAAGTTAATTTTAATTTAATAATACCATATACATATACAAATCTGTAAGCTAACAAATTGCAAACAATTGAAATGATAGCGCAAATGTGTGTATACCCGAGGTTTATATATTTTGTACACACAGCCAATATTTACCAACAATTTACCTGACTGTTTTGCTCCTAATCTACACGTCCCCAGACACACACACACACACACACACACACACACACACACACACCCGCAACCACCCTGCTAGCACAGCTAAATTATTAAAGCCTGTAAAAAAGAACATACGAATAGAAAGATAGGAAAGCTTTTATTGATTTTTATTGTAACATGACGTCTTCATGCTTGCAGTTAAAATCTGTTTCAAGATGGTACGGGAATAGGAACAATTCAAAGGGCACGAAGGACAGGGAAGCGCTACACTTGCTATTATTGGTATTGCTGTTGTTGTTGTTGTTTTTGTGCTACATTGCCATGTGCAAGGTCTGCAAGGTTAGGGTTGAAACTAAACCGTGAGGTTAACATATGTTCCCTGGAAGCATGAGCAGAGAGAGAGAGAGACAGAGAGAAAGCTTTCGGAGCTTTTACTTTGCTGTGCAAAATAACAAATCATGTTATAATATTAAACATATTTCAATACAAAATAAACCAAAATTGAATATGCTAAAATATTTTATAGCTCTAGCTAAACTCCAATTACATTTAAATATTTTTCAAGCTTGGCAGTTACAGCTGATGTAAAAAGCTCGAGAGAGCTTTCTTTTTAAGGGTTGCTGCATTTACAAAGTTATACAAAAAAAATTTGTATGCATTTTCCTTTGGATAGATTCGGACAAGCAAGCTGAACAGAATTCCTGCATATTATTAAACAAATAAAACCAAGTATTCTTTTATAAAAATCAACCTTTTTGGTGATTCGGCAAGTGAATTTTGCGAAAGTTACAGAAACAGAAAGAAAATACGCATGCTGCGCAGGTGGGCAGAAAAAATCAATGAGCGTGTAAATTTTGTAAACACGCCAAGCCTTCGAAAAGCGTCAACGCACAAGCCCCTCCACCCCAACTGTACAATTCACTGAGACGTGTCCAAGTAATTAGCCAAGTCAGTAGGCAAAGAAATCAGATTACAAGCCAGCTGCAACTTAAGAGTTAAAATGTTGCGGCTGTTGCGATTGCTGCCGCTGCTGCTACTGCCGCTGCCTCTGATCATGACAGCTGACGGTCAGCCCGAGCTAGCTGAAGAGAGACCAACCCATCGGCTGGCCAAGCGCATGGATCTGGAATCGTGCATAGGTAGGAAAATCTACCACAATCGCATACAGCAACATCTCGAATATACTCTCTCTGAATTAAGGTCACTTCGATGTGCACAAGAACACAATTATTCGGACTGGTGAATCGCAGGCGATTGGCGGAAAATATCTACAGGGTCTGGAGCTGGACACGCTCGAGGAGTGCGAGCGTCTCTGCTGCGAAACGGATGCCTGCGATGTGTACATCTTTGAGCGCAAAGCGGGCGGCTATTGTTATCTCTTCGAGTGTGGTCCGCCCGAGAATTTCCATTGCAAGTTCACGCGGCATGCGAACTATACGAGTGCAGTGCTGACGCCACAAACGCACAACAATTTGGAAATGGTGGCAAGCACACCACGGCCACAGTTGCCGCACATACCCAGCAACAACATATCGCAGCAGGAGTGGGAGTTGAGCAATCTCAAACTCAAGCCGGATGTGCAGCGCGACAAGCCCACAAATCTGCTCATGCCAACAACGGCAACAACAGCAACTGGTGGCTCAGTTTCGGCTCAGAGCGGTACGCACTGGCAACATATACATACAATATATTGATTATGCAAATTTTACACTTTCCGCTCCCATTATTTATGTAGTCCCCTTGCCCCATTGTGGACGTTTTCAGTTTGGCTGCCACTCGGGCGAATGCATTGCCGTTTACAATGCCTGCGATGGCATTCCCCAGTGCGAAGATGGCAGCGACGAGGGACCGGAAGTAAGTTCAAATCCCCCAATTATCAACAATTTTCAATTATTCAATTGCGGACCAATTGTTTTTAGTGCAATACCGTTGCCTCAACGGCCACAAAGGCCAGCGGTAACAGTAACACTAACAATGTGGAACAATATCAGCCAGTACCGCCCATACAGCAACAATTGCTGACAGCACAGCAGCAGCAGCCGCAGCAGCAACAACAACACCAGCAGCAGCAGCAACAGCATGTCATTGTGTTGGGACCACCGCCGCCACCACCACCACCGCCCCCCATGGTCAACAATCGAGAGGATGCCGCCGCTTGGGCTAATCGCAAAATGATTGCCGAGACACAATCGAAACAACAGCAGCAGCAACAACATCAGTTGCTGCAACAACAGCCACAAGGCGAGATTCTGATTGCGGGTAAATATGAATAACAACTCCATATACGAGTAGTGGCCATATTATACCATTTCTAGAAAAAGTGTCTAACTACTAATACAGTTAGACGTCATATTTAATAGCAATACATGTATTATCTGCTTGGTGATAGCGGTCATTTACAATAAATTCTAAGGCATTTGCTTGGTGAAATTCACAAATTTTGAAGGATGGAAACTGATTTTCTAGATTGTTAAACGCGTGAGACAGCAGAGTCTTTTTTCTCTGTATACCCAGACATGCTCTACAATTCTCAGCCATAACAATCCCAACCTAGTCAAAGGCACTTGGACATCAATAGAAACTGCAGAGCCGATGAACTCACCAGGCATTTACCTGGCATGGAATATAGTTGTGCCCTTGGGTATTTCTGGGCTTATGCTTTGTAAACAATTCAAAAGCTAGGCCACAATAAATTGGCAAGTCCCTAAACGCAACTAAACAAAAATAAATGAAGCTAAGTGTTGCTTAAGGGACACTGTGTAAATGGCATTTTAGTCGCCTGACTTTCTGCTACAAAAGCTTAAAAAAAAATAGCCCAGACTACTCTACAGCTGACCGTGGGCCTTCGGGTTTCCGCAAGTATGCCTATAATCAGTTCTAATTTTTATAATAGGGAAGAATTTCTAACTAATTTTGTTTTAAATTAATATTTAAATTATGCCAAGTCTTCTGAATTAATTTAATCTGATTCTATGATTATCTTCCATTTCGATTGAAAACTTCATAAATAAACCCTTCTCAACCAATTTCAGTAAACCAGACCGAAGACAATTGCAATAAATATTTATAACTAAGTGCAACAATAACTTAGTATAGAGTACAACTTGTAGCTACACACAACGAACTTTTCTTAATATCGTGTGACATCAGCACATAAATTGCAGCCAAAGAGCACGCAATGCTCCAGCTCCATCTTCAGCTGCAGCTCCAATGACCAGTCTGTGGCCAATTGGCTGGGGCAGTTGAGAAATTGCTGGGAAAATGGCAATTACCCATCAGTTCTCATTGTTGTAATGGGAGCCACGTCACTCTGAATTGATTTACGAGAGTGTGTTTGGATGTGTGTGTGTGTGTGTGTGTTGTTAGTAGGAGTGTTTGTTTTGTGCTGTCGTTGTTGTTGTGGTTTGAGCTTATACTTGTAATTAATTCAATTAGCTGTGCGTTTGACTATCTCCACACTTCCTCAACAGATGAGCAGCTGAACAGTCACATATTCAATCATAAAGGCGGCCTGCAACTGCAACAGCAACAGTCGATGGCATTAAATGGCCAGGGGCAGGTTCAGGGCCAATTAGCGCCACCTCAACCACCACCAGCACAACCACAACAACGCCAACTGCCGACCTATAACAACAACAATAATAATGGTGGTGCTGGTGGCACTTTGTATGGCATGTCGCTGCCACGCTCAGACATCTATCTGACGCCACCGCAGCAGCAGCAGCCACAAGTTGTGAGCGTGCCACAACAGTCGACTGTTATAAACTGGCCACAAGTTGCGGCGCCGCCAGCTCCAATTGCTGTGCGACAATCACAGCAGCAACAACAGAGTCACGCCTACATAACTGCTGCAGCAGTTCCACCTGCTCCTGCCCCTGCCCCAGCCCCGGCAGCGCCGCAGCAATCCATGCTGCCCGTGCTGAATGCAGCGCCAACGCATGGCAAGAATCAGCCAGCTGATGAGGATTACGATGACTACGAGGAGGAAAAGTCCACAGAGGCGCCCAAGAAAGTGAGCCCAGCTTCCTTCAATTCCACAAATATCTAAGTCCACGCAATCTCCAACTTTCTCTTCCTCTCTCTCTCTCTCTCTCTCTCTCTCTCTCTCTGATAGAAACAGCGCAAGCACAAGAAAACCAAGGCCAAGAGCAGCAAGGACCCCATCGAACTGGCGCTGGAGCAAAACAAACAGCAACAACAGTTGCCGGCATTGCCTGTGCCTGTTGGTCCCGTGCACGAGCAATATAAAATGATACACGAGAATCTGGCGCTGGAATTCCGCGATCACGATGGCCACTCGGAGCGACCGGGTGGCGCAGTTTTGTCCCTGACCCTGGGTCTGCTGGTGACCGCTGCGCTGGCCATTCTCATTGGGTGTCGCATGCGCACAGTGGGACGACGAGCACGTCGCATGGGCGGCAAAACGCCCTATTCCCAGGAAGCCGACTTCCTGGTCAATGGCATGTATCTGTAAGAGTAGGGGCGTGGGCATGGTCATGTCGCTCGTAGTATATAAATATATATGTATACAAACATATAGTTAAATACATAACGTTTTGTGTGCCAGTCTCGTTTGGGTTGGGGTTTTTAGTTATCCTATGATCCGAAGTTAGTTAAATTAATTGAATGTCGACATATTTTATATAAAAACAATTATATACAAATATATAACAAATAAAACATAATTTTAAATAATCAATTTTACTGAAATTTTCAAGGGAAATCATTTATCTGGATGTCAATGAAGACATTGCATACTTTCAGAGGAAACAAATGTACTCCTCAATAATGAGCGAGCAAGTCATACTTTTAGGCTGATAAATAAAAACACGTTTGATTTGATGAACAGCATTTGGTACTTCAAAAATAAAGTTTGATTAAATTCCATAAGAAAATTTACTTTAAATATAATATATTTATGTTGAACTGCGTTTTTAGACAAATTGAAATAAGGTATAATTACCAAAGAACACTTTTTAATTGTTTTCGACAATATGGCAACAATATGGCAATTTGATAACTTATCTATTTCCAACCTGGGAGATAAGAGTCGTGCCACTAAGCACAAATTTTCTGCAGACAATGCTCTTCTGACTAATAGAAACAGTCAACAATTTGCTTGCAAAATGGAACGACCTTCCTCATCTGCAATGCAAATGCTTTACGCAGAAATGTCAACTGGTGCGTAAGCATTTGATTAGAGAGAAAGAGAATATGCAATTTTAATTGCCGTGATATTGTGTTCATAGTTAAGGCGCAGAATGTACGATTGGAGGAAGAGGTTATGCTGCTGCGCCACAGACTAAATCGTGCCTCAACTGATTACCAATCAAATGCCTCGTTGCATGTGGAGGCAAAGGTCAAAACGTTCCAGCTGGAGGAGGAACGCGATCGTATCGTGGATACGCTGCAGCTGCACAAAAAGAAATACAACAAACTGCACGATGCATATTTGGAGAAGGTGAAACGCTGCAAAGCGCTCGAGGATATGTTCAAGCGGCAAAAAACGCTGACTGGTCTGGTGATGAAATCTGCAATTGATCAACGGAATTCGGGTGAGTTGAGGAGCGTTGCCTGAATATATCCCAATGTCCTCCAATATGTTTCCTTATTGTAAAGAGCAACAAATGCAACTGGAGAAACGCAGGTCACAGCAAAATATAAATAGTGAAAACGAAGTGGGAGAACTGCAAGCGAAGCTGGCGAAGATGCAAAAGGCTCTGGATCAGTCCTATGATATTATCGATGAAATGGACTTTGAGCTAGAAAGCGTAAATATCCTATGCTAAGCCAGTAATCTGAATTTATAACCATCCAAATTGAATGCAGGTAGATTTGCTTGAGATGCAGAATAAAAGTTTGCGCGACGAGGTGGCAGCCCTTAAAGCACAACTGGCAACGCCGGCAGTGCAGTCACCAATTGCCAACGATGTCGATGATCCACCGCCCAAATACGCCGAAGAAGATGCTCTTCGCACGCAGGCGGATCGTTGTGAATCCAGCGGTATGTCTTGCCTTAAGATAGATGACGACGATGCCGCTTCGCTGGAGCGAGCCGCCATGACAAATAGCGTAAGCGGGATATCTAACTAGTATCAATAATCATAGCGATAACGATAACATAAACGGTATTGATTGCAGCTCATTGAAACTGTGGAGGCGGAGAGCCATCGCCTGAGACGAGAGCTTTTGCGTTCGCGCTACCAACGGCAAATTCATGACAAATTGCAGAAGCCAGTGGAAGAGGACGAGGAAGACGAAGAGGGGAAAGATTAAAATTTGAGTCAGACAAAACTGGATACTTATTAAATTCTAATGAAATCCTATTTTAGTTCTTTAGCATGTTTGGCTTTACAGACACCTCAACATCTTCATAGATAATGGGATTAATATGTATTGCTGTGGCAATTTATTGATTATACATTTATATATTTTTTAAAAAATGACTGTTTATTTTGATAACTTTACATATTATTTTACGATTTTAAATTCATGTATTTAAAGATTGTAGTTCCTTTAATTTTTTTACTTAACAGGAAAATAAATCCTTGCATGTTGCTATTTAGGGTAACATCTGTTCATAAATCTTTGAAAGATATGGTCAAAAGAACAATTCTATCGAACTTTTCTAGGATTCTGGACTTATACAAGAACCCATACACTGGTAAAAGTTTCACCCGTAGATAGAGTTTAGTCATACTTGAAAAGAACGGCTTGGCACAGCGCATAGAAGAAACTGCTTTCTAGGAGCTTCTTAGCATAAGCCAGAGAAGGTAGGTAGCGTAAAACTACCTAGCAGTAAAGTTAATAAACAGCTTTTTAGCGGAGATTCGCACCTTTGAACTGCTTTGGATAAATATGAAAAGTAAGCAGTGCAAGATCCAGGACAGAATTCAATAATGATTATCTTATTTACAAATTAAACATGTATATCTTGGTAGCGATCAACAGTCACTAGTCATATCAGACAGTTGTAAATCCTTTAAGTAAGCTTATAAAAAAAGAAGACTACAATTAATTTCATGGACGTTTCAGTTGTCATGAAAACACTTCACTTTTGCCTAAAAACATTGCAAATGCCATACAGGTATGCAAAAATCAGTCTAATTTAGCATTTAGTGATAGTAAGTATATTTAACCCAGTTTTAAGCAAGTCACGCCTTACAAGTGCACATGCCACAATTGGCATTTCAAACAAGAAATCCGCAACAAAGCTGCAGAGTATTGAAAAACGTGATACCGTAACCTGAATTTAAAGCCATCAAATAAGGCAAACGCCGAGTAATTGAAATTAATTAAAATATTTGTTAATGACATCAAACAAGTTATGGCCAAATCAATTTGCCACATCTGTGGAGGATCTAAGTAAGCCGATGTCACACGACAATAATGAATGGACACAACTTGGTTGGTCTTTTAGATTTTTTCGCAATTATTTTCAGTAATTGCATAAATTTTTGAAAATACAAAATGGTTTAATAGCAGATAAATTAATAAATGACAATTTTTTGACTAATTGCATAAATATGCAAATATGATAAAAATGAGGATAAGCTAAAATAAAATAATTTAAATTATATAGATTTCTTTCTAAAAAAAAAAAATATATATTAAACATTGTGCATACCATAGTTTTTTTTTTTATTCCCCGTAATATGACTTGAGGCAAACCAAAATTTAAATTTTTGTGTAAGTCAGCACTTGTGAAAATGTGTTTCTTGTTATTTTTTATTGCATTGCTCACTTAAGCGCTCCAAATTACTTGTTACTCGATTTTGGGGGCTTTTTGAAACACTTTATCACGTTGCCACATCCACTGAGACTCAGACTGAGAATGAGATTGAGACCGAGACCGAGATTGAGACTCAGACCAAGCCTGAGTGTTTCGATTGAGACGTTGGAGTTGTCATGCTTGGATAAGTATAAAAACGCTGAGGACTACCTCGATTAATTACAACGATTCCGATCAGCGTCGTGTGCATACACAATTCTCGAGCTAACACAAATTGTTTAAATAATGGGAAAAGTAAGTTAAGCTTTAAATACTGAATGCAAGAAAAAGAAGTCCTTCTTCTGACTGTTCAACTAGATCAGCTATTTGTTGTGCATTGGCCTGGCCATGATTGGCACCGTCTGGGCAATTGAAGCGGAACCGGATTATGGACCCGTGGCCTACGAATTTCATTGGTCTGTCAACGATGAGCACACGGGCGACATCAAGAGCCAGAAGGAACAGCGCAAGGATGACAAAGTCGTCGGCCAGTATACTATCATCGATTCGGATGGCTATCTGCGCACCGTGGATTATACATCGGATGCCCACAATGGCTTCAATGCGATTGTTAATCGCACGCCGACAGATATCAAGATTCCACAGCCTGAGCCCAAGAAGCTAATTGCCACCAAGCTTGCGGCACCAGTGTTGCCGCTGGCTCCCCTGGTGCACTATGCCAGGCCCAGTCTCAAGGGACCGGCGCCGGCTCATGGCAACTATGTATCGGTGTCGGGGCCGACAGCTCAGTACAAATACTAGAGTGATTGAGAGAACCAACTGATCATACTTCGACTACATTTCTTCAACTTCATGAAATGCAAGAGCCTTCAAGGAAACCTGCTGATATCTCAAACATGCCAACCAATCACAAGTGCATTCAAATGCATTCATCAGACATATTTAAGTTATATACATACATACATACATTGTACATCAATCATTACACATTATAAAGATGCATCGTATATACATACATACTCAAATAAATATTATTGAATCTGTTCTGTAGAAGAGCACAAAAGATTTGATTATTTTTGTGTCGCAAGCTGTTTGGAATTTATATTATATTAGTTAAAGTCATTTTTATTAATTAACTATTTTATATTGTACACTATTTTTATGCAACCAATAATCAAATATTATTGTTGGCGCATCTTTTTAGATGCAAATTATAAATTGCTTTTCAGTGAAATTCAAATAGATATTAGTATGAGTAAGAAGTAGGTAAGTCATAAAAATTCATTCAAAAAGTCTTCATCATCATCATCAACCAAAAAACAAATGTATCATAATTACTATATGTGTATATAGATATATACAAGTCATTACTCAGTCTGTAAATGTGTTCTGGCATCATTAGATAAGACCGCAAAATGATACTGCGATTAACTAATGATATCTGCTGACGAGACATGGCGACGAGACACAAGATGTTGATAATCTCACGTAGCAGCCACGGCCCGAATCAGCCCTCTCGCATCTCCATCTCTGCCGGGCGGCGCACGTGCAAGCTGGAAGAGATGAATTTCTATTGGCCTCAGTCAAAATTTAACGATTGATGCCGCTGACTTGACCAGATCAGTAGTAAAATGAGCGACGCAGTGCCTACACGACAAGCTCTAACAGTTAGACTATTGGTCATGCTAATGGCGCTGGCATCTGTTGCAGCCACAGACTCGGCTGGAGGCAAAGATGAAGATTGGATGGCGCCACTGCAGCAGCAATATGGCTTGAATCCAAATGATCTGAAGAATAAAGTGCAGCAGGGCGATGTGACCACATTTGAGATGGGCACACCCAATTATCAGATACTGAATCCAGAGGCCCAGCCAGAGATAATAACCGAGGATCAGCCCCATTATCGCGAGACGCTCCAACGCTTAACCAGCTCCCCCCACGGCACCGAAGTCATTGACCTGGCCATGCCCACATCTAACGACAGCGTTGAGCCAACCATGCCGATAACAGAAAACTATGAAAAGCTGCGAAAGCGCAGTTTTGACGAAACATTAAACAAAGCCGAGGATCAGGATGAAGTGGATGCCGTACCACTGGACGAAGGAACCCGCCGTCCGAGGGTATATGTCTATCGCGGGGCAAAACCATTTCAAAAACTCAACGCTAATTTAAGTTAGACTGAAATTTGTTTATGTGGCGATTATTGTTTTATTAAAAATCAATTAGCTTTGTTTTATCCTCACATCACATCATTTTATGCAGCTTTATTCTTCGAATATAAAGTTTCCATTTCTTATAACGATTTTTTTAATTTAAGTTTATTTTGTTGTTCTCTTTTGATTTTACTAACATTATTTACTTATAAATGAAAGTAATAATTTATTATATCGAAATGATGAACCAATATAATACCAAGCTACAACTTTGTTAACATTTGTATATTGAAATAAAAATTTATTTGAAATAAAATTAGATAAACATTTAAAAATCAGTTAATCCTGCCTGAATCTGGCAAACAATCCTTGATCTGGGAAATATAGTCACACAATTAAAAATTAAATTTAGAGCACGAGGGAAAGGGAAATACTTAAATTATTGAATATGAAATTTAAAACGATAATTAAATTAAATTTATCATCAATATATAAAGCACTGCGAAAGGTATCAACAAATATAATAATAATAAATTTAAAAAAGGTTAGATTTTTAACCAGTTTTGTAGAAGTTGACATATGTTTCATGGGTAAAATTGTTGTCATATTACAAGCGTCGTAAGTAGTCAAAGACCGGAAATTCTGCATTCATTCTCGCTTATAAGAATAAAACAAAAATTATTTTGCAAGAAAAAAGTAAAAATTAAAATATTCCACATTCAATAGTTGTAAAACAAAAGTTATTTATCTTTATAAAATAGATTAGTACTACTGTGATTACCAATAATAAACATACTCAAAATTCACATACACGATTTAGACTAAAGATATTGTTGAGATATTTTTCGTGTCTTTTCTTATAGCTGTCAATCACTCATTTGAAATTTGTCTGGTATCGCCAGAGTACGTGTCGAGACCAACAAAATGATTTCCCAATTGATAACTTAATCGACAGATTGATAAGCAAAAGTTGCTTAAAATTCAAGACAAAACAAAAACGTAAACAACAGAAATATGAATGAGCCACGGCGCTCCAGACACTTGGTCAGCCCCAAACCCAAACCCAGACGGCAGACAAAATTTATAAATCCACCAAGCAGTCAGCGGTCAAACTTCAGACACAAAAAAATGGTCAATGCGTGCGGAGCTGCATAGATATGAAAATGCATATGGAAAATATGAGAAATTAATATGAAAATGGAACTGGAACTCGGAGCTGAAGCTGATGCTGAAGCTCCAAACAAATCAAAAGCGTGTGGCTATCTGAGAAATGTATGAAATTCTTTTACGGAAGCGCAGAAGAAATGCGCTTGTGTGATTGTCATAATGATGGTGTATATATTGTATATAGAGCGGCTCAAGCATAGCCAATATATATATATATGAATATTCATCTGTATTGAGTGTCAGCGTTGGCGTCCCCCCTTCACCCCTTGCCGGCCGACGAGCCGCGTAGTGTTTGGAACGTGATGGGGGCAACGCTTCCGCGACCCATTTTGCATAGCGCTGTAATATTTGCAAATAGCTGCGCTAAAAAGTATTTAAGAGCTATTCAGCATATTGTATTGAAGAAGTTGCACGCGACCAAGCAGAGAGACGAACGCTGAGCGCTATCCAAAATCCAAATACTGCTGAAAGGTACAAAAAATCAAAACGAAAATCAATCCAATTGGGAATTGTGTCGCATTACTAAACCGACCCATATTTTGTATAATTAAATATTATTATTATTATAATTTTTTTGTTGTTGTTGCTTTTTGCAGATGATTGTGCGACACAATTTCATATTCACCCTGCTGGCTTTGGGTGGCCTGGCGCTGAGCCAAGCCCACTTTCCCCAGTACTGTGCGGAATGCGAACAGGAGATTTGGGAGCAGGTGCCATGTAGTGAGCTTAGCACCACAACACAACGTCCACCGTCCACAACGACAGACTCATCGCTGCCGATCACCACCACAACGCCACGCTCGACCACATCGACGACGACCAGGAGAAGCACAATGCCACCCACATTGCCACCGATCTATACGACACCACAGACACCGTATGTCGGCAATCCCGCGATATATAAGAAGTGCTACTGTGAGTGTAAATTGGGCTGCAAGGAGTTCTGTCGCAAAGTCTCCGTGGCCAGTCCCAAGCAGCAGATAACACAGATCTCCTCCACAGGGGACTATGCACCCGGTGGCCAGGTCGAGTTTACGCATTCGCATCAGCGCAAATACTATCCAAAATATGCGGCGCCCAACAGGAACTACAAACCGTATCCACTGGCCTACAATGAGGCATCTGCACCAACGTCAACCAATATTAATGCACCCAACTATACGCTGGAGGAGCTGGCGCATCTGTTGAGCAACGCCTATGGCACCAAGAAGGGTTATCCAGCCAGTTTGCCGCCAACACAGCAATCGGTTTATTACTCCCCGCAGGTGCCACTGGTGGCTCGACTGCAGCCGGAGTACAAGCAGATGATGAGCAAAGTGGCGGGTGCAGAGCACAAGGAACGGGTGATAATCAAGACAGCTTCCGCAGCGATTTCGACATCGGGTGGTGGTGTTGCCATAGCTAAGGCAAAGACGCCATACAGCGAGGTGGTGGTAACATCGGCGCCCATCTATGAGAGCACCACATCGTATCCAGTTGCGCCGCCAGAGCTACCCAAATCGTATGCCCAGCCGGAACCTGAGCCGCTGCCACTGCCACCCATGCCACAAACTGAGGCATATCCCACCCAGACCGAGTCGTATCCCGACAAATCCTACGAGTCACCCGAATCGAATTCGATTAAACCACAATCGCCGCCGCCGTCGTCGTCTTCCTCCTTCGATCTGGCTATCGATAATTATCTAAAGGATTTCGGTTATGGCAACCACGTCAGGGACTTGGATTACTAATGTGATTATTGCCATCGATTGTTATTAGTTGTTTTTAGGTTTAATAGCTATGCCTAGGTATGTGTACGTGTACTTATTTAGTCTGGTAAACGCATTGTTCATGTATTTATTTATTTATTCTGATTGGCTTCTTATTTTGAATCATGTGTTGACTCCTTGATAATATACAAACGATCAATGATCATACTGAATACTTAAGTTCACTTTTTGTTGTACCTATTTGAAATGTAAACTGCTCCAACGCCCACACCTACCTCCTTAATCGATAAAGCGATATTTATGGAAGTGTAAATCGATAGAAACGCATATTTCCCACAATTTCAAGGATAGACTTGTCAAACTTGGAATATAGCTTGCTGGTAACCTCCTTTAAAGGTCAGACCACGCCCACAGCCGATGCGCCCAGGAACTTTGGTTTACTAGGAACCTTCTTCAAAAAACGGTATTTCTTGACATCCACCCTATTCTGTGGCACTTGTTTTGAGCTGGTATTACCTATTGATATGAAAGTATTTAAAGTTGTTCCTTTTAAACAGCAAGCTACTTTTTCTATTAGTTTGTAAAGAAAATATGTCAATGATTTTTTATATCACTTAATTTTATAATTTGTCAGTTTAAACTGCTTGAGATTTTTTTCTTAGCGTGTAAGGAACAACTTTCAATTCATTTTTATGTTCGGTGTTTTTTGTTTCTTTTTAATTTATTAACTAAAGTGTCTTGAAAGTTTTCCTATTTAAATTCGTTATAATTGCAATATTTTTGTATTAAGGGCAACAAATAGTTCTCTTGAATGACCTTCGGGCACTTGTTGCATGCAACTTGTGTGCAAACATTATGTACTTTTACGTGGCACATATGCCACAACAAATATAAACCAAAGTACACACAGATGTGTATGTGTGTGTGTGTGTGTGTGGTTGGGTTTTCGTGCAATCTATAAAGTGGGTACATGTCGCTAAGTAGACACAACTTATTATTTATGGAGTCTACTTAAATTTGCACTCGCTCTGCGTATGTATGTCTGCATGTCTGCATGTCTCTCGTTGATTGGGTGGGGCGACAACGACAGCCAACGACAGCGGGCGTGCCGCTGTGGCAACTGGAGCTGCGTTGCAGTGCGTGTGCAGTGTGCGGCGCGCGGTACCAGCTCTTGGATCTGGAGTGCGCCACCACTCGGCACCACATCATGCGCAATCGTAATCTTGTTCTAAATGAATGTGGCGCAAGATATGCACCATACCGCTTATTACTTCATATCGAATTTACCTGCAAGTGTCTCGATTTGATATTTTGCTCGCTTTTCACTTAACTGCTCGGCGGTGTCTCGTTGATTTTAATGTGCGTGAAAGGCTGTGGCATGTGGGCAGTGTACACCACCTTAGCTGCAGCCTGCCCCACCACAGCAAGACCGCCTGGTCGGTTTTGGTATTAAAGAGGTTATAGTGTCTTGTGTGGCACACACGAACGGATGTTGCAACTTGATTAATTAATTAAGTGAAAAAACTGCAAGCTCGCCGAAGGCTGTCTGAATGTCAATGTGCAATTTGTTTCATTTGACGCAGATATCGACGCAAATGCGTTGCCCCACCTTATTTATTTATTTTTTGGTAATATTATTGAAATTATTGTATATCATGGATTGCTAGTTGTACAATTTGCCTAAAATATTTATAAGTAATTATTTTAACATCATTACGCTCTTAAAATCTTCTGGAATTCGAAAAGATTCATTTGGTAAATCATTAATAACAGTCTATGTATTTTTGTAACAACTTAGACTTATGATATATGATTTAGCAACTTAGTCGAGTTTTACTTCCAGTTAATTCACTTTATCAAATGTATATTCAAAATAATAAGAGTAGTGAAGTGAATTAATTAAGCTTAAACTTTTATTTTGGATTTTGAAAATTTAGATCTTTACTTGAATCACCATTCATTCATTAATATAACTTTGATTACATGCGTGCATATGTCGCCATATATTTTATATCTGTTCACTTTCACTTGACTTTGAAAAGCACCCGATTTATTGAATAGCTCGCTGGGCACTTGATCCATAGATCAGTTTGTCAGGTGAGTGCGCAGATATGGGTAAATTAATAACAAATTTTTTGTCTCAGCTTATCCCTTGATTGAGTGACCAGCCTAAATATGTGGAGACAAAAGTGAATTTGATACACAACCAAAAACTAAAAACTGCCAAAACTGGAGCAACAAACCGGCAAACAGTTTTTTTTTTTAATCTTTTTTATTTGGGTGCTAAGACAAAATATATTGGCAATCAATGGCCGCAATGGCAAAATACAAAGTAACTGTTTTACATTTTGGCAGCATTCCGGTTCGAGTTTGGATTAATTCACAAGCACCGCACCGCCTTGAAGGTGGGGCTGTCGATTTTTGGGTATAAAAGTTGCGTGCGCGACATTTGGCAACATAGTTCAACGCAGGAGCCCCAAGTGCAGTGATCTAATTGATTCAGCATAAACAGCAAACAGCAAACTAAACTAAACAACTAAACGCAAAATGTTCTCAGTGAGTTTTGTCTGCCAAAAAACAAGTGCATTTTTTAGAGTGTTTCCCATTTTAATTTGCAGCTAATGTCTGTGTTCATTCTGGGCGTGGCTGCGGCTGCCGCCATTGAGCTGAGTCCCATTTACCATGCGCCACAGGCACATCTGGTGAAGCCACTGCTGAAGACCATCGAGGTGGAGGCACCAGCCCATTATGATTTCAGCTACTCCGTGCGCGATGACCACACCGGCGACATTAAGAGCCAGACGGAGACACGCAAGGGCGACCAGGTCCAGGGACAGTATTCGCTGATTGATGCCGATGGCTATCAGCGCATCGTGGATTACACATCCGATGCCCATAACGGTTTCAATGCCGTCGTCCGCCGTGAGCCCCTTGGCCACAAGGTGATCAAGGCTGCCCCACTGCCATTGGCATATGCGGCACCCAAACTTCTCGCAGCTCCCAAACTCTCATTGGGCCTGTACCACTAGATCTGATGATGCTGAAAGCTGCAAGAGCACAAGCGATAGAGCGAGAACGAGAGCGAGGAGAGAGAGAGAGAGAGAGAAGGAGAGAGAGAGATAATCCAAACACTGATTTCATCGCATTGACGACCCATCTCAAACTGAACACTCAACGCTAAGCAACTGTATATGTAACTGTAACTGTAACTGTAACATTTTCTAGCCATTACTTCAAACAGCATATCTTTACTCACCGGTCACCACTTTCAAACACCTACGCGCATCAGTCCCTCCACCAAGAGTCTTTAAACACGATTTATATGCTCTATAAATACGTGTTTCCTATGTATTATACTATATAACGATTACAAATGTGTAAAAAGAAACGCAATAAATGCATTTTTATAAATGAATTTGAGCATTTTTTAAGGGAACTGTTAACTATTAAATTCGAAGAGTTTCGTTATTTTGCTTGATAGCGTAAATCGATACATAATCGAAAATGGTTTAAGGTTTCTCTGTTAATTACAAAAAAACAAATAAAACAATGATTTACGTATTCCATTTGAGCAGCATTTTAATAATAGTGTATAAAAAACTTAACAGTCATCATCAACAGCCATTTGATCTCTTTAATGATGTTGTAGAATCGAAATGGGTTCGCGACGAACCTGAGCATTGAAGCCCAGCAAAGGATCGGCGCTATAATCGACAATGCGACGATGTCCATCGGGTTCGATTAGTGAATAACGACCAATAACATATTCACCACGTCGATGCTCAAACTGATCCTTCACATCGCCCGTATGGCTGTCGTGCACCGAGTACTGGAACTCATATTGAGCGGGGCTAGAAATCAGCTCATCAGGATGGCTGGCAATGATGCCGCCCTCAATGGTTGCAGCACAAACGATCAGGCACAAAAACAAGCTAATGATCTGTGGAGGAAAAGCGGTTACTGATTAATTATATAATACAAATTTTAGTTAATATACCATCGTATTCATTCTGCTTCCAGTTGAGTTTCAATTGCACAGAGAAGGAGAGAGAGAGAGAGGGCCTTGCAAAAACACAAACTTGCTCAAGGCAAAGATCTACTGAACTGATGACTGAGTGATCGCGAGACCGTCTTTTATATTGATATAGATAGCTAGACAAGATGCCCTATTGTCGCATTGGCCAACTTATGAAGCTGCAATTTGAAACCGAATACCCGACAGTGCAATATCAATTATGCAATGCCGGTGTCTCTGAATCTCTGAGTCAAACTGAAATCGCAACTTTGCATTGGCAGACACAAAGGGGAAATGAAATCGAATGCTTTGTAATTGAGAAAAATATGAATTGAATTTAGTTGAACTTATCAAGGCAAATCATTGAGTCTTAGTATGTTATTTCTCAAATAAAGTTTTAACACTCACAAATGCTTCGACATCTCAATTATACATTATTTATTTTCGACTTATAATAGCAATTACCACTAGCATTGTTATAATTGTTTACATATTTATGTTATTGTTAGCTTATTTGTATCACAGCGTTAAAATTAATGGATTTTAGAAACACATCTAATTTAGTTTAGGCGTTAGTTCTACTTCGTATAGGTTCATTCAGTTCGAAGAAATCATAGAAAGGTGCGCACTGAAAACAATTAATTGATGTACATATTTAATGCGCGAAGGTTTCAGAGTTTCAGGTACGACAACATTAACGAGTACACGTATATATGCATATTCAATCCCATCCGATCATTCTTATCCATATCAAAATTTGTTTTCCAACAGCGATCCTGTTACAAAGAATATCAATAATATTATTATTAGTTAATTCATGCGATTCCTTGATAATTTGCAACTTTCCAGTACATTTTTTTCTTCCAAATTCCGTAAAGTGCACCCAATCAATATATCCAATGTTTTTTTAATATTTTTGTTATCGGGTGCTGGCTAAGTTATACGCTACTGTACGCTAGTTAATGGTGTGCATTCCAGTTCTACGCTTGCTGATTACCCAAATTAAAGTTACCATTCTCGGCGACCATCCAAGCGGTCAATTTCTCATCCTCCGTTTTGTTCGTCTCATCCCAGGGAAACGATGCTGCCTTCTCCTTAAGCGTTTTCTGTGCTCTGAAATGATTCAGTTATAGATTTAGAATATTGTGTTCACTTTGAATACACTTGTATTTTATAATATTAATTATTATTATTTGATTAATATATTTGGTACTAGATAGCATGCATATTTGTTTGATTAATTACATTTTTGTAGTTGATTCGTAGTCAAATCGAATATCTAATATAATGTCCAAGATTTATCTCAGTTTTCAATATTGCTTAACTATTTAAATCTGTCAAATCATCAACTCAGTGGTAAGGTTTTTATATAAAATCCAAGTAGTGCAAATAGCTGTTTCAGATTTGACAATTCAATATTTGCCGCAACTTTTCATTATTTCCTTTAAATAATAGTAAAAATCTTGGGAATTACTAATATTATTTAATTTGTATGAAGAACAAATTACGAATATTTATTTTGTACAACAATTTAACTACATTTTTTACTAAGGTGAAATGTGCCAAATATTACAATGATGATAATACGACTAAAAACTATTGACAACGTGCAGTAAATGCTGGGATATACATATATATATACATATGTGGATAAATGTATTCAGAACTTGTTACGAATGCAGATGTTTACCTTATGGGCCAAAAACGACATTCTTCATCATTTGAGGAGTCGTTTTGGTTTTCACTTGGGGCACGCACAAAATGTTCAGTGTTCAATGACAAGCAAATGAAAAGACAAAACAATATGGAAAAATCAAGAGAGACAAAGTACATATGTATATAGATAGATAGATAGACAGATTGATAGATGAATAGATATATATATAATAGAAGTAACAGCACAAAAGAGACACTTAAAGAAGCACAGATATGAATATCGATGATAAAGGACCAAATGCAGTATGAGTGTATGAGTGTATTCAACTCTTGAATACATATTCAATCATGCCATAGAAATCATCTACACTACTTACGCATTAGTCGACAGTGAATCTGTGCGACTGCCGTTGTTCACTTCCAAGCTGCAAGGACTCCTCTTCTTTGGAGGACGCTTGAAGTTCTCATGGAAGAAGTCACGTCCATTGTGCGAACTATTCGAAGTCTGTCCACTTTTCGCCTGTTGGGTGGGCGGCACCGTGTGCGGGTACTTGCCATCGCTATCCGAGTCCATGGACAGATGCCCAAACAGATCCTCTAACAGGATATTCGATTTGGCATTGCGCTGAAGTTTCGCCGACGTTTTCAGCTTCGAGCTGTATGAATTATGAAAGTTTTTCGTACTAAATACATACAGATCAAAAAGCACAAATTGCAAAGAACAAATTGCAAGTTACAAGTACAAAAAGACATTTAATATGACAGAAGAAGGTTGACAAGACAGACTAAAGACAGACTTTGTCGGATTTGGAAAGGGAAGCAAGAGAAAAACAATCAATGAAGTATTATCCTAGATGTCAATCTCTAGTTTTAGTTTAGATAAAGGAAGTATGTATGTAGTATGTACTCCTGCCTAGAAGTGATTTGTTGATTGTAATAAAAATATTATAAGTATAAAGATCGTTTTCGCAAGGATCAAGGACGTACATAGATACACAGTGGTTTGTTTAAGATTTATGAGAAAATTACAATTCTGTCCAACTTTCATGAGAAGCTGAGTAAGCCCTTGTAAAGGAATTTGTTTTGTCACTATTTCAACCACTTTTACTAGGGTTTTTCCTTACCACTGCCTAAGTAACCAACTTACCCCAGTATCAGGTCCAGATCATCAACCTTGAATGCACCCATCCTAGTCTCAGTTGGCGCTGCCTGCGATCGTGCCGATAGCCGAATGGCGGCTCCATTGAGCGAGGAGGCTGACTCGTATGGATGCTGTGGCTGGTGTTGGCGGACGATGATACTTGGCGGCGCCTGTACAGCACTCACTTTGGAGAATATGTTGTACACCTTCGCCTCGGGCTGGAGGATTGTGGGGCGTGTCTGCACATAGTAGCCACCCATGCCGGCAGCTAATCTGCCATTGTTCTTGGCATTCTTGTTGACCGTGTCGTAGCTCAAGTGGCTGCCATTCACATAAATGGAGCCACCATTGCGAGTCGATGTGTTGCTGAAGGAGACATTGGGATGTTGTTGTGGCTGCTGCTGTAGTTGTTGTTGTTGTTGCTGCTGCTGCTGCAGTGGTTGCTGCTGCTGCTGTTTCTGAGCCACTGTCGCTGCAGGCAGACCGAACAGCTGCGAAATATTACGATTCAGATAAATATCATTGATGGACTCTTTGCCAGCCTGCTGCTGCTGCTGCGACTGCTGCATAACCACGCCCATTCCTAAGCCCAATGATGAGTTTGTAGTGGGTGGCAGTCCGACTACAGATATGTCGTTGTTGGACAAGAAACTCAACTTTGGTTGGTACTTGCTGTAGATCGTTTTACCATTGATTTTGTTGTTGGTATTGTTGTTGTTGTTGGTATTGTTATTGTTGTTGTTGTGGTTGCTTTGATGTATGAGGTCAGTCGCGGCGTGTAGTTTCTCCTGCACCGGAAGCACATTATTTGACACAGTGGGAGGTAATACGATTTGGGTGGGCCCAGTACCCAAAATGCCATACTTGGAGCTCAACCTCACATTTGCCTTGGCCGCCGCTGTTGGCGAGATGCGCTTGAGCGCATGGAAATATGGATACTTGAGACTCTGCTGGGCCGTTGGTCGCTTCTCGGGATCGTAGGCCAGCATATCCTCCAGCAAATCCAAACCATTTTGGCTGCAGCGACTGACCACGCTGCTCAGCGGCACCTTTATGCAATCCGGATATCGAAAGTGTATCATGGATGCCAGGCGATAACCATCCGGCCAGTCACTCTACAAAATAAAATACAAAATTGATTACAAAGTGAACTATTTTCAAATTGAATTGAATGTTTATTTTTGAACTAGAGCTTAGTCTTTAACCAGACTGACGAACTACATCAAATGAGTTAGTCTTTTGGGACAGTAGATGCCTCTTTTATTCAATACAATATACACATTACGTATACGCCACACTCACCTTGCCAGGCGTGCCCAGCACAGAGCAAATCTTGAAGAGCTGATCCACTTCGCTGCTGCCGGGAAAGAGCGGTCGGAATGTGTACAGCTCGGCCATGATGCAGCCCATGGCCCAGAGATCGATGGTGCTGCCATAGTTGGTCGAGTGCAGGAGCACCTCCGGCGCACGATACCAACGCGTGGACACATAGTCCGTAAAAGGAGGGCGTGAGCGTATTTCACGTGCCAAGCCAAAATCGGCGATTTTTATTAACTCTGGGCCAGAGCATAACAGATTCTCGGGCTTCAGATCACGATGAAAGAAGCCGTGGCGATGCATAAAGGCTAAGCCCGTTAAAACCTAGAACACATTTTGGCTTGCATTAAGTAAGTTGAGTTCAATTAAATTGGTTGGCTCACCTGAAAGAGAATACTCTTGAGTTCCGGTTCCGGTAAATGCGTGTCCCGATCCTTAATCATTTGATACAGATTCTCCTTCATATATTCAAATACAAAATATAATGTATCGTTCTCTCTAATGACTTCCTTCAGCTTGACAATATTCGGATGCGATAACTTCTTCAGCGACTGCAAAACCAAATCCTTAAGTATCCTTTTGTTTGTATTATTATTAAGTTCAAATGTTAACCTTCACTTCGCGCAAATTCATTGCCTCCTCCCAGGAATAATATTTGCGTTTCATGCGCTTTATGGCCACCTTTTCACCGGTGTCCTTACGCTGGCCCAGCACAACGGTGCCATACGTTCCATCACCCAGTTGGGTCAGTGTAATATAACGATTCATGGTATAATCTGCATGGGAACGCTTTTCACATACTTTCTATATGGAACTACAATTGATACATTCAAGAACACAATTTAGAGTAGAAATAAATACCACTTGCTAAAAAGGACAAAAATGTCTTTCAAAGGGTTGGCCAATAAATTTTTAATTTGACCTTAAGTGTCCGTTAGCAATTCGTGTTTTCTTGTTTAGTAAAAGAGTCCATTGGGAAATACCAAAAACCGAATCAAATCACCCAGTTGAAAACACCATCAGCTAATTGATGGCCACTAAATTGACCAGGTGTTTGGACACATGTTGAGGTCTTTGTTTTCGGAATGCACCAATTCGAAATCAATCAATAAATTGATTAACGGACAGCGGTGACAACAAACAGCTTTAACTATTTAGGAACTTGACCAAATTCTTATAATTGTAATTGCAGGTATCAATAACATCAAATATCAAGGCTACATGCCATAGTTTTGGTGCTAAGTGTAATTGTTTACTGATTACTTGGATAGCATGGCATATAGGCCATGGACAAAGACTAATATTAACATCACACAATAACCAAGTCTGCCCAACAGCTGGCTTTTGTAAACCTGTTAGAAAATTGCCTTGAAATGTTTATAAATTAACAAAGTGTTGATTCTCTGACATTTACTTTCTTAAATAGAAACTCTAACTTGACCTTTAAAAGTGCAACGTGTTGTTGATAGAAAAAATACGATGCCCTCATTAACGGTTCATACAGGGTGCAATACAGGTAAGTTTCATCCTCATGAAATTTGGTTCTTTACTTATTAACTGAAGGGGAAGAAATAGAATAACTATTAACTTAAGCAAAACTATAAAACACAGCCGCAAATTCTAACTATGAATAAGCAATTCTGCTTGGATTCAAATGCAAAACTTTGCTATAAAATTGACTCAGTTTAAAGTCGAGTTTAAGTTGCTTGACCAAATTATTTATTTCTGGATTGGTATAGATTGGTATATCAAAGTTCACTCCCAGTGGCACACCCTGTATGTAAGAATACACATCACAAATTTGTGTGTGCATATGCAAATGAGTTTGTCCCCATTTGAAATCACATTTCATAGACAATTAGAAGCCTCAAACGTTGAAATTTATATTATTTATTTATAGCACCATGTCAGGTTATAAGAAAGTTCCACGTCCACATTACACTCGACGTGTGTCTGAAACTGAAGACTACAAGTTGGGGTAGCTGGCAGCAGGAGCAGGCACAGGAGCAGGAGGCACCGGAACCCAAACTTGAGTCAGCACGGCTTTTGTTTTGGCTTTCTTTCAAATAATGTGCCACAGCCTTGAAACACATTTAACATTTCATTTATTTCTATTTCTCACATAACACGCACATTTATTTATTATGATCGACCTTGCACATTTTAGTATTTATATATTCATATGGATCAAATTTATAAAATGTGTTCGCAAATAAGACAACTCGAACTTTAAGTAATTTCGGGGCTCATTTTATCGATTAACTTTAAGTTAACACTAACTGAACTGGGCATTAGAATACAGGGTTTTTTTGGTTTTTACCTAAGGCGCACTTTGAATCGACTGTGGTCAGGGCAATTTTTTGCATGAATCGAATTAAGAAAATTGGATAAAAATAATATATATTTAATTGGCGAAAACGAAACGAAATTTTATCGAGAATATCTATTGCGAGCGAGAAGTTTATTTGATAAGTGCACGTTAACAACTACCAACAGCTAGCGCCGATATCCACAACAACCGCAACCCTAACTAGTCCACGCACCACTCCCCCAAGTCCGTTGTCAACAAACACCAGCCGCGAGAGAGCCACTCACGCAGTCCCAACCCGAGTGCACCTGTTCTATTGAACACGCGCCAGGGTTGAACGTAGTTTATTTTATTATTATTATTATTATTATTATTTTCGGCAACTAAGGAGCCGAGCCGAGGCAGACCACGACTTGTGAGAGACTCCGGTAGATGACTTGGGACTGGTAACTAAGCATGGTGTACTCACTACTGTTTTCGTTTTTACCAAATTTGTTAGCGTTGCCACGACAACAATTGGCCAACTCAAACGGGAGACTTTTAGCCGGCGCATATGTTCTATATCCTTCGGGCGGAATGGATGAAGAGACTAACACACCGGAAAATGGCGAGACGAATAAAGCGTTTCTCGAAGACGTTTATTTCCCGGAGCCGGGCATCATAAATCTGGACATGATTAGAACCTCCTATCTGGCAGAGGGAGAACGTGGCGAGACGAGTCGCTTGCATCAGCTGGAATCGGTTGTACTGGAGCGAATTAAAATGTTACGACTGGAATTCAAAAGTCAGTAAAAGAACTAAATTTGAAAAATGTGAAAATAGTTTAAAGTTTTCCACATAATGCATACTAATCGAACCCATGTTGGGGATCTCCTAAAGATATTCTACGCATCGATCACCTCTGGGTTCTGCCTAATCTGACCAAACTCTGTCTCAACTGCAACAAAATCGAAGTGATTGAACATATTGGCATGCTAACTGCTCTCAAGGAACTCAATCTGAGCTTTAACTATATAACAAAAATAGAAAATCTGGACACACTGGTCAATCTGGAGGTGTTATCTTTATTTAGTAATCGCATAACGAAAATCGAAAACTTAGAAACACTGGAAAAATTGGTAATTCTGAGCATTGGTAACAATTTGATTGATGTTCTTGATGGCGTAAGTTTAATCTAACTTTCCGAATCGCTCTTTAACTAAGAGTATAGCTATAAATATATTTCACAGATTGATCGCTTGCGCTTTGTGAACAGCTTAAAAGTTCTTAATCTGGAAGGTAATCCCATTGCTAAGCTGCCCGACTTTCCATTAACCCAATATGTAACCGCTATTTTGCCACAATTGAATTACTATAAATATGTTTTCATCAAGGCTGAGATGCGTGAAGCGGCTCAAAAGAGATTTAGGTAAGATATCAGAAATAAATAATATAATAATAAATAGAAATAATAACTACATAGTTGGATGCTTCAATTTAAATTTAGAGTTAATTTAAATATATATAAAATACAATATTTTGATCACCAACAGTCGAGAACTGCGCGAAATCGAGGGAAAACAGGAAAAGGAAATACATGGTTTGGAGACGGAGGCACGAGAGTTGGCCGAGGCGGAGCGTTTGTCGTCCAGCTTCGTGGAGCACCTGGATGGCGACCAGCTGTACGAGAGCATGTGGCGGGGGGATGAGAATGGCAGAGTACTCATGCTATTGGGTGCACCGGCACAAGAGCTCGCCGAGGAGTACGGCAATGATGTGCACGAGCTAACGCAGAAGATTTACAAGCTGGGACTGGAGCGTTTCTCTGAACGCGATGCAGAAGTTAAGGATTTTATGAGCAGCCTGCAGGAGGGCCAACAGGAGCTGCAGTCGCTCGGCCAGAAACATATCGAAGAGTTCTTGCAGTACAGGGATAAGGCCTTTGAGGAAGCGGGCACCATTTTGCGTCAGCTGGAAGCTGGTAAGGAAGATGCACCGGAGCATTTGCAACTATGCGAAGTAATGGACGATCTCAATGCGCATTTCGAGGAGACGCTCAGCGAGATGTGGCACAATTTGATGGCACAGGAACTGCATCTGCACGAAGCAGTCGAGGTAAATACACTCATTTTACTTATGCACTAAACGGAAAATCGGAGAACATTTCCACAGGAGTCCACCCTGAACTTTGAGCGCAAAATTACGCGTTCAATGTCCACCTTTGTGGAGCAGGCACAAGTTTACTTTCTCCAATTGCGCGACGTTTGTGAGCACTTCTCGGATAATATGATCGAAACTGTGTCGCGTTTCATATCGCATAAGTTGGCGCTGCAAGATCTGGATTCAGTGCCTCAGGCGCTGCGCATGTGCATCGATGATCGACAGGCCGTGTTGAGGATAGTCGCTGATATGAAAGCCACGCACACCTCACGCATTGAGGATCGGGAAGATCGTATGGCCACCAGGAGCAAAGAATCCATTGAGACCTTAATCGCCAAGCTAACCAAGTGTGTGACACCTGTACTATCCATCAATCATACACTTCTTTTGATCCCAATTATTCTTGCAGGGAGGAAGTTGAACGCCATCGTGCCAAAATATTGGAAATTAACTCGTTTATGGAAATGATGACTGAGGCCATGGCCAATCTTCCAGAGGAAATTCACGCAGAGCTGCTAGCAGGGGAACAGCAGTAAAATCATAGTCGTGAAGCAAATAAACTAAATAATTATAAACAAGAGCGAACCCAGTATAGAGAATTGAATTTCATTAATTGTTTATTGCTTGTTTATATATTCAAACGTCTAAATTTTAAAGTAAATAAAACAAAACCATTTGTTTTTATTATCTAGTTAACATACCCAAACCCCTCTAAATGCAACAGTTAACACAGTATATTCCTCTGTTTTCTCCCATATCACTCCTTGCTCTTGCTCTTGAGCTTGGCCAGATAAACTTCCAAGCCCTGCTGAAAGAATGGAGTATTTATGTATTCTAAGCTTTCCCGCAATTGCCCCTCTGGATCTTTGATCAAAAGCTGCACATCTTGTGCTCGCGTTTGACGCTTGGTCAGTGCTCTGGCGTCTGGTTGCGTTTTCGCAAAGCTACCAATGAACTTAGCACATTTAATGATGGCATCCGACTTGCCATCGGCCACCTCATCGATGAGATTCACGTGCAAGGCTTCGTCGATGCTGAAGAGCTTTCCCTGTAGCAGGGCCCGCTCAGCGATGTACCGCGGCAATACGCTCAGGTAGGATATCAGTATAAACGGTGGCACCACATACCCAAATTTGGTGGCATGGATGCCAATACTGAAGCCGGGCAACATCACACGATATTCACAAGCTGTAGCCAGCACACAACCAACAGCAATCGCATGACCCTGGGAGTAAAAACACCAAATCAGTCACAAACTCAGCATAGATCATGGAAAAATGTACTTACATTAATAGCCGCTGCTGTCGGCACACGGCTTAGAAATAGAGACAACCACATATCCTGCAATGCTCTCCAAAATGCAATCAGGCGATCTTGATTCGGCTGGTGCAATTCATTGAGATCCAAGCCAGAGGAGAACACTTTATCGTTGGACTTTTAAATAGATGGAGGAGTATAACCAACGAATGCATCCAGTTTATAAATAACTTACGGATGTAAGAATAAGACCTCGACTTCCATTGCGCTCAATCTGTTTAATGGACTCGTTTAAGTCCAGCAGTAATTCCAAATTACAGGAGTTTACCGGCGGTTTGTTCAATGTTAGCGTCGCAATGCCCGTCTTATCATCCACTTCAACCATGGTTAGATTGGATCCATTATTATTGCCAATGGATCGGCAGAGGCGTCTGCCCAAATCCATAAGTTTTGTTTGGCTACGCAGCATTTTGTGCACTGCTGATCACATGATACGAACAGAAAAGGTCATTACTAGTTTTCATTTCGAATAGTTTTAACCTTTCGTCACAAAATTACTAGATATTCAAAGCGCGTGACGTCACTGTCGAATGTATTTTCATATCTGCTGCGTACCTTGTGTTGATCAGATAACAAGAAACAGCTAAGCTTGTTCCATTCCCTTGTTTCGATAAACTACAAGTGAAAATAAAAAAAGCACAAAAGCAAAGACATAAACCCAATGCAAGCATGCAGAATTATTTATTAACTTTTTCTTATATACATGTGTGTATAAAAACTGTGAGTAAAAGAATCTACAAATGCATAAGATATCCATTTCAGTTCTTGGACTTCTTTTTCAGACTTTCCAGATAGATGCCCAGACCCTTCTGAACAGCTGGCTGGTTAATAAAGAACAAAAACTTCTCCAAATCTTGGACACGTTCATTTTCCAACTGTTGCAAGTCAGCCGATCTAAACTGTTGCTTGGTCAAGGAGCGCGCCAACGGATTGACTTTGGCGAATGTAGCAATAAAATCAGCACACTTGGCCAAGGCCTCCTCCTTGCTGCTGGCAATCTCATCGACCAAGCCGACACGCAGTGCTTCCTCTGTGGTGAACATTCGTCCCTGGTTTAGGGAACGTTCAGCCTCTCGGCGCGGCAGGATACTGAGGTAAGTGGACATAAACCATTGGGGTGCCACAATTCCAAGTTGAGTTTCGTTCAAGCCAATTGTGAATTTTGGCAGCATGACGCGATATTCACAGCTGGCAGCCAACAAACAGCCGCCGGCAGGGGAATGGCCCTGTGGAAAGTTCACATATTTCTAAAGATATATTCTTTTTAGGGGTTTCCCGTGTATTTACATTAATGGCAGCTGCTGTTGGCACACTGCTGCCATAAAGTGCCAACCAAACATCCTGCAATTGAGTCCAAAATGCACGAATCCGTTCCTTGTCCGGCTTATACATTTCGAGGATGTCCAAACCCGCGGAGAATATTGTTGGATTTGACTAGACATTTGATATGATTACAGATTATAGATATTATTATTATACATTGTATTATTGGTAATAGCTTACCGATGTCAGTATCAATCCGCAACTTTTGTTGCCTTCTATTTCCTCAATTGATTGCTGAAGGTCGCGCAGCAATTCCAAATTGAGTCCATTTACAGGCGGCCTATTCATGGTAAGTGTTGCAATGCCAGTTTTATCATTGACTTCCACAGTTGTTAGCTTTGTGGCACTGGACATGTGCCTGCAAGCAACTGTGGCACGCGGCACCAAGCTTAATAACTTTGTACGCATCATTCTGTTTTGAGAAAAGAAAATTTTCAAAACATGTAAACATCTCTCAAAATGACCTTTGGACGCGGCGTTTTACTAAGAATATTAAATAAGATTATTGCATTTAACAATAAGATTTAAAAAAAAGCGTTTTTTATATTAACAGCAATTTATTAATAAAAGTTTTTTCATATTTGTTTGTAAATAAAAATAAATCTTTAGACAAATCACCTCGATATTTAAACTTTTAATTATAACAGCTGTTGCTGAACCTGTTGCACTCCTATTTACTTTGTTCGTTCGATTATTTCTATCGATTGTGCCAGATCAGCATGAACGGATCTGCTTCATTTTAATTATTTGTGCAGTTTAAATTGTAGTGTAAATTGGCCAGATGTAATGTTTGACAAACAAACTCAAACTATCAAGCAGTTTAATCTTACAGAACTTAATTTGATTATGAACTAGTTCAGTAAACTATATTTGTAGGTTCTTTAATATCTCTATGCCAACATATTTTATTATCTCACAAAGCTTAATTATTGCTTATATTTTAACAACATAATCATTTAAATTGTATAAAAAAATACAAATAAATCAGATTAGTGCATGAGCCAGTTCCACAAATTGAACAAAGTGTAAATGGGTCATGTTCACATCGTATAGCATCCATGTATTTTGACAGTTAGCTAACACGTCACAACGGCGCAGCTGTCACTTAGCCGATTCGATTGCCTTCGTGTGCGCTTTGCGGTTATTCTTCGTTCGCCTCGCTTGCGTTGCTGTAACTTTCCCTTGCGCGTTTCGCATAAAACATATAACACAAAAAGAAACACATACGAAAAAATGGGCTCAGGCAAGCAACAGAAAGTGCAATCATCTGGTTTCACCAAGGAGGAGGAGCTGCTCCTGCAGGACTTCAGTCGCAACGTCAGCACAAAATCGGCGACAATATTTTACGGCAACGCTTTCATCGTCTCCGCGCTGCCAATATGTAAGTCGGTCAAAAGTGGCAGGGTTTTTTTTGACACGTTGTTGATTTTTTTTGTTACTTTATATAGGGCTCTTCTGGCGCATTCACAACATGGACCTGTGGCCCAGTTCGATTCTGTTTGTGCTGGTGACTGCGGCTAGCACCTATTTAATGGCCACCGCCTACAAGAACATCAAGTTCCAGCTGAAGCACAAGATCGCTGTGCGCCGCGAGGAGGCCGTCACTCGGGAAGTTAATCGCCAGATGGGCGATGACAAGAAGATCACACGCAAGGAGAAGGACGAACGCATCCTGTGGAAGAAGAACGAGGTGGCTGACTATGAGGCAACCACATATTCGATTTTCTACAACAATGCCATCTATTTGGCCATCATCATCTTCATCAGTTTCTTTCTGCTGAAGAACGCGACGCCATTTGTGAACTACATCTTCTCAATTGGTGTGGCGAGCGGTGTCCTCGCGCTATTCTCCACCAGCGCCCAAACGAACTGAACAACAACTCTTCATACACATTACCCATTGTAGTAGATTCATACTCGTAATTTTAGGTGCCACCTTGAGAAAACTGCGAGCAAGAAACAAAGATTCCATTCATCCACTCGTTGTCTTGAATTAAATACATTTTTAAACACTTTTCGTAACAAATACAAAATGTTGTCTTTCTTGTAGAAAGCATATAAAACTTCAAATTTTAATTATAAAATTGTTTCAATTTGTAACAGATAAAAAGCAGTCATTATCAGTACGTACTTTGCTTAATCTAATAGTAAATGCAGGAGTTTGACGATTTAAACAGACTCGAGCAGCAGGGCGATTCCCTGACCGCCGCCAATGCATGCAGATCCGATGCCGTACTTGAGTTTCTTGCGCCTGCAAAGAGTGGAGGAGGAAGTTGAAAAATGTAACCAACTCCAAGGAGTTTCTACTTACTGCAACTCGTGCACGAGATGAGCCGTGATGCGGGAACCACTGGCGCCCAGCGGATGACCCAAGGCAATGGCACCACCGTTCATATTCAGCTTGGAATGGTCCAGTTTCAAGGCATCGGCACAAGCCAACGTCTGAGCGGCAAAGGCTTCGTTAATCTGTAAATAATTCCATCCGTCAGCAAGTTATATATGTGGACATGGATTGTGTAGTTGCGGACTCACCTCAATCAGATCGATATCCTCCAGTTTCAGTCCCGACAAGCGAAGAACATTTTGTATGGCCGGCACTGGACCAATGCCCATGATCTCGGGCTTGACGCCCACCGAAGAGAAGGCAACAAGGCGTGCGAGCGGCTTGAGATTGTACTCCTTGAGTGCATCCTCAGAGGCAACAATAACGGCAGCAGCTCCATCACAAATGCCGGAAGCTGTGCCGGCGGTGACAACGCCGTTTTTTTTGAAGAGCGACGGCAACTTGGCCAGCCCCTCGATGGTGGTCTTGGGACGTGGATGCTCATCGACAACGAAGTCCACCTCCTTGCCCTTGACCTTCAGTTTGATGGGCGTGATTTCGGCATTGAAAGCGCCCTCCTGCTGTCCCTTCTCCCAGTTCTTTTGCGAGCGCAACGCGAACTCATCAACCCGCTCTCTGGAAATCTTGTACTGATCGGCCAGATTCTCTGCAGTCAGTGCCATGGGCAGCTTGCAGTGCGAATCGGTTAAACCGGCCCACAGCGAATCCTCCAGATTGTAGTTGGCACCGAGTGTTGTGCCGAAGCGCATGTTGCGTGCAATGTACGGCGTCTGTGACATGTTCTCCACGCCGCCAGTGAGCGCCACTTTGGCACCACCAACCAAAATGTCCTGAGCACCATTCACAATCGATTGGAAGCCTGAGCCGCACAAGCGATTAACACCTAGCGCTGGCTTCTCAATCGGCACACCACAATTGAGACCCACATGTCGTGGCACATAGATGCCATCCACCGAGGACGACTGCAACAATGCCACAGCAAATAAGTAATTGAAGTTAATTCCAATGCCAAACAACCAAAAATTGTAACTCAATTGTTAATTGGATAATTTTGTACTCAGATCTCAGATCTCCACAGCTGCCCCCGGCTTACCGCAATCACATTGCCAATGGTAACGGTGTCCACCTGATCGCCCTTGAGACCAGCTGCATCCAATGCCGCCTTCGCCGCGCTCGTCTGCAGCTGGGTTTGACTTATATTTTTAAGAGCGCCACCGAAAGTTCCAAAGGCCGTTCGCTTAGCGGCAACAATATATATACCTTAATTAGATAAAAATAATATACAAATCATAACGCAAATATTAAAATTCAATCAACAAGTCCAAAGTACAGAGAAACCCCCCTCCCATGACTTTGGTTATGTAGCGGAGGTGGAAGGGTGCAGATAGGACAGCAGCGAGTCCAAAGTACAATTTTATATCAGGTTGTTAACATCACATGCAACAAATTGTTGACGCAAGAACAACTTTTTACTACCTTTTGTAGCTGCAGACATTTTGCACAATTTGGGAATCGAGTGTACGGTGAAAACAATATATAAAAAATAGTTAAAATTTATTCAGCTATATCTGGCGATCGCAGGCGTCTTCCACCCTGCACAACTGTTCGCGATAAACTGAACGTTAACTCAACTGCTGCCGGCAGACATTTTGAGTAGCGCATAAAAGCTCCGCCTCCACCTCGCTGCGAAGCTTTTTAGCAGCGGAAAACCACAAGCAACACAAAGCTTCCAGCTGTTAAATGCACTGAGCGAAATATCTTAATCGATAATTGTACTCATTTCTTACAGCTCTAAACATTTTTTTTACCTTTACGGTGATTTTATTATATGTATGCCTTTTAATTCACGTGGTTTTGATTGCAATTTTAGATATCTTATTATTGAATACTTAATTAAAGTCTGATCAACCGATAACTTGTGAATTGTGTATCTAAATTCAAACCCATTAAATTAGTCTAGAGTTGTATATTCAATAATTGTGCTTAATTAAACATGTAGTTGTAAATGTTGAAGATTTTGAGTTGAACTTAAGACTTGAAACAAAAACATAGCTGATTAATTGATACAAATCTTAAAGGCGGATGCAGTACACAAATTGGCTGCAATCCAAATTTATAAATAGCAAAAGTAAAAGTAAAGTTTTTTTTCTTTGTGTGTATTTCTTATCAAAATCAGGGGGAACTCTGCTCATATGCTACAATCGATCGGATCGTTCATCATTATGGTGAGTTGGATATATCCATGTTATCCGACTTCTCAACGCTGACCGATTTGCGAGAGCTTTTCGCGTCGGCATCTTCAACAATGGATTTCAGTTTGCGTGCATCCGGAGTGCGGGATCGTCGTCTGGACGTCGACGATGACTTTATGGAGCTGGTGGCAACATCTTTGCTGCGACTCGATCTCGACTTGCTGGGCACAGCCGGGGGCGAGGGGGAGCTTCGTTTGCTGCGCGAGCGTGGCGAGCGTGCGCGATGCGATTTCTTGCTACTCCGCTCACGGGATCGGGAGCGTTTCCCATTGCCATTGCCACTGCTGCCGCCTCCGCCTCCTCCTCTTTCGATGCCAGATGCACCTGCTCCTCCCCCTCCTCCTCCACCACCATGCGAGCGTGAGCGACGTGCGCTGCGTGAGGTGCTGCGACGATGTCGAGATCGGGAGCGTTTGCCACCCGATCTCGATGAGCGGGAATGCTTGCCGCCGCGTGAACGAGATCGGCGCGAGCGTGAACCACTGCGTCGATGGCGGGAACGCGAGCGCTTGCTGCGCGACCGCGACGAGTGCTTGCCACGGGAGCGCGAGCGTCGCGACCTGGACACACTGCGTCGCTCCCGGGTGCCGGAGCGTCGTCGCCGCCGCGAGGTCGAGCGATGCGAACGGGATCGGCTGCTGGTGCGACGCTCGCGCGAACGTGAATGTGAACGCGAACGTCGTCGCTTGTCCTTGGCCAACATGCCGATGACAGGATCTATGGCGGCGGAGATCATGCTCTGCGCCTCCTTCACAATTGTCATGGCCTCCTCAATTTCGGCTTGGGCAGCCTCATTGGATTTCGCCTCCGGTTTCGTTATGGAGTACGTCGAATGATAGACACTCAGATGCCCACCCTTAAACTCCTGACCCTGTAGACGCAGGGCATGGATGACGCTCGTCTGCTCACAGAACTCAATCATGCAATAGGTTTTGTTATCCTTCTCCGCCCAGCGAGCGTATTTTACCTCGCCAGCGCGCTGGAAGCACTCCATCAGATCGTCCAGTCGCCACTCGTTGCGCACATCGCAGACGATGATGGTGCGACGAATTTCCTCAATTTTGCGTCCATCGTAGAACGAGGGCAACGCAGGATATTCGGGCAGATTGAATTCAAGCAGTTTGGGATCGTACGTCTTGATTACCTGCTGCGGCAATTGTCCCTCAATGCGATTGATCACCTCCGGCGGCAGCTTGGAGTCCGGCTTCTGCAGACCGGGCACAATAGTGCCATTCTTGAGCATCTCCAGCGCTCGATACTCCTCGGGTATGGCCAGCACCGGAATGACGATAAGTGCGCGGTCAATGAATACCGTGTTGGTCAAATGCTGGGCAATCGGCACACTGGTTGTCTCCGTGTACTTCACATAGCAGATGCGTGATTGCACCGGACAGGAGACATCTCGGATGGTGGGGTACAGTCGTATCTCCTCGATTTTGCCAATGTTGCCGAACAGCGTTTGCATTTGATCCTTGGTGGCCTGCGGCGCAATATTGGTCACCTGTATAACACGCGGCGTGTTACCGCCAGCCATGATTGCTAAATTCTCTTCGTTTTCTAAACACAAATTTTCGTCTTCGTTTAAACAATTGTAAATATTTCAATTAACCTCTCGCACGAATGGAAAAAATTCGACGAGGGCTGCACACGTATAGCGTCGCGAAAATTTCGATTGGCCCACAGGGCTACCGTAGCTTAAACATGTTTCGCATTTCGTGTTCATCAGTGCTGCCAATTATCGGCTAAAAGAATTTGGGCATAAAAGGGAAAACACAAACCAAAAATATAATTTTCTTTAGGTAATTTTATACAAGTCAATGCAATATCAATATCAAAAGATATCAGGTTAATAACAAAAATTTGATGCACTTAAGCGATATGTTATGAATAATTTTAACTAAATAAAAGTTACATAAAATAGCATAGGTTTCCAAGCATGAGATTGCCGCCTAACACAATTCATAAATGGCCAAATCTGTTCGGTAGAAATCTAAATGACACCACTGTTTTATGGGTATCGATATCGATACTTTTGTTTGCTGCTGCGACTAGTGATTATTTGTGTGAATGCAAAAGTTGTTGGAAAATTTTTACAATCCAGTACATGTTTAATTGTAATCGAATTGCAAATAATTATATTCTAAATAAAAGCCCCACTAACTGATTACAACACTGACGGCAGCAGACATGTCAGAAAGCCCAGCGCCATCTGTCTCCAAGTCCAGTTTAAATGATTTGCGACAATTTCGCATAAATAGAAACGCAGCTGCCTCAGTTTCTAGCCCAGGAAGAACTGGTAGGCATTGATTGTTTTCGTGGAGTGAGCTGCATAAAGCCAAATGTTAAATGTTAAAAAAAAAAAAAAAAAAAATGTTAAATTACAGAGCGCGTGCCCGGAAAGAAGCGCATCCAGGTGATGGCGGACAGTGACAGCGACAGTGCAGACTGTCAGACGCCGAAGAAGCCCAAATTGCTGTTGACTGTCAAGGAGAAAGAAGAACGCTATATGGCAGCCGCTAAAATAATGCCCCTATACGATACGATGGTAAGTGGAACGATTGCTTCGATCATATGTACACATAAATTTTTTTTTTTTCGTTGCGTACATGTGTTTGGAACATGGCGCATCGGCCCGGCATTGTGAACAGCTGTTGGCACAGTGACGTAGCTGAAAAGGGTTTCGCCCACAAAAATAAATGCACAAGTCCTTGGCTTAAATTTAAAATGGAAACTATTTTAAATTTGTTAATTTTAATTCGCATTTCAATGAAATCTGAGAAAAATACACATTAAAATTTTGATAATCATTTTAAATGCTTTTAATTGCAGGCTATTCAAGATTCGCTGGCGCGATCAAATTGGGACGTGGCAGCGGCAATACGTTATCTAAAGGACCACTGCAAGCCAAAAGGTCAGCATCCCTACGAGAAACCCAAGTTAAAGCACAGCTCAAATGGCAGTGGGGTAGCCAAATCACACAGCAAGTCGAGTGGCAACTACTCGGACTGTGATAACTCGGATGATGACGATGTGAAGCAATCCAAGGATCAAGTGTACGACAGTGACGACAGCGACACCGAAATGTCCACCAAAATGACTGGACAGCGCAAGAAAGTGTTCCAGTTCATGAACAGCGGCAGCATCGTTGAACTCCAATCGGTGAAGACGCTCTCCGAGAAGAAGGCAGCGTTACTTATCGAGATACGGCCATTCAAAGATTGGTCCGACCTGCGTCAGAAACTAGAGGCCAATCGATTATCGGCTGATCTGCTTAACTACGCCCAGGATCTAATCAACAAACAGAATACCGTTGCCAACATCCTAAGCAAATGCAACGGCATGGTACAGCGCCTGGAAACAGCGATCGCCAACGGTGCCGGCATTGTGGATCAGCCACAGATTCTAGGCACCAAGTGCGTATATCATCCCTCACTCATTATATATTTGTAATCTTCATAATCTCCTCTATTGCATCTGTTACAGTTTGCATTTGGCCGACTATCAAATAATTGGCCTGAATTGGCTGACGGTGATGCACAAGCAGGAAATGAATGGCATCCTGGCTGATGAGATGGGTCTGGGTAAGACCATACAGGTTATAGCATTTCTGGCTTACCTCAAGGAGAACGGCCTGAGCAAGGGGGCGCACTTAATTGTGGTGCCATCATCAACGCTGGACAACTGGGAGGCTGAAATGGAAAAATGGTGTCCCAGTCTCGTAGTGGAAAAGTATCACGGTTCACAGGATGAGCGGCGAAGAATGCGTGTACGCTTCGCCAAGGATGGCTTTACCGGATTCGATGTTCTGCTCACCACGTAAGGAATATTAAGTTAAGACTTGCTTTAATAGTGGCCTAATCTTTGATTTGCCAGCTACCATATAGTTGGATCGACGCCCGAGGAGCGAAAGATGTTCCGCGTTTGCAAGCTGCACTACGTCATATTCGATGAGGCTCACATGCTGAAGAACATGACGACTCAACGTTATATCAATCTGATCACAATTAATGCCGAGATGCGTATTCTACTGACAGGCACACCGCTACAGAACAATCTGCTCGAGTTGATCTCGCTGCTCTGCTTTGTGATGCCCAAATTCTTTGCCAAGAGCATTGAGGACATCAAAACATTGTTTGCCAAGGTGTGTGTAAAGTGAGTAAAGCACTTCTGTCTCAATTATAATGCCTCTTCTGATCCTTGCAGAAGAGTAAAACTGACGGCGATCAAGAAGAGTTTTCTCAGTTCCAAGAAAATCAAATTCATCGCGCCAAACGCATCATGAAACCATTTGTGCTGCGGCGTCTTAAGAAGGATGTACTTAACAATTTGCCCAAGAAGACTAGCTATGTGGTATGCAGTCAAAAAAAAAAAAATATATATATAGGCTTACAATGCCATCCCCATATATTAACAATGTTTAATTAATGATCTTTCTCAAGGAAAAAGTTGCGATGAGTGCGTCACAGAAGCAATACTACAACGATCTGGTTGAATATTATTCCAATAACAAGGGCGAGATCTGTGGCAGCAGCGAGCGTGCCGGTGTTGCAATCATGATGGAAATGCGTCGCATGGCCAACCATCCGCTGCTAATGCGGCATTATTTCTCAGATGAACAATTGCGGGGCTTCGCCAAGCGACTGGCTCGTGTTAGCTCGTATAAGAAAACCAATGAGCAATACATATTCGAGGAGTTGGCGATTATGTCCGATTTTCAGGTCTATCAACTATGCAACAAATACGTAAGTTACATAAAACTATATGCATATTAATATAGATTTCAGATTAATGATTGCATTTCTTCTGTACAGGAACTATATGATGTGAAAATACCGAACAATTTAATATGTGATTCTGGCAAGTTTCAGTTTATGGATGATCTGCTGCCCAAACTGAAGGCCGATGGCCATCGTGTGCTGCTCTTCAGTCAGTTCACCATGATGCTGGACGTTGTGGAGGAGTATTTGAAGATACGAAAACATGGCTTTTGTCGTTTGGACGGCGGCACCGCTGTTAAGGAGCGTCAGGATCTGATCACAGACTTCAATGTCGATGATAACATCTTCGTATTTCTGTTGTCAACAAAAGCCGGCGGTGTGGGCATAAATTTAACCGCAGCGGATACCTGCATCATTCACGACATTGACTTCAATCCATACAATGACAAGCAAGCCGAGGATCGCTGCCATCGCATGGGTCAGAGTCGTCCAGTGAGTATTTATCGTTTAATATCGGAGAGCACCATTGAGGAGGGCATTCTGATGGCTGCCGAAGAGAAGCTAAAACTAGAAGAGAATATCACGTCCATTGAGAAGGGAGAGGTGCATGAGCAGCGCTGTGTAGTCAAATTGTTAACCATGGCATTGGGCCTCGATCATGATGAGGAGGAGCAGCTAAACAACTCATTGAATAACTCCTTAGGCACGCCTACAAAATAGGATATTTAAGCAAATGCACTAAAGCAATTCACTTTCCATTTTCCAAACAACACTGTTTATTATTTACAGCGTATCGTTTACTTATATATTAATTTGTATACTTAAATTATTAGAGAGCATTTTGCTCATATCATTTTCGTCTACTTATAAGAATAAATATTGTATTTAAATTATAAATTATAATATATTCACATTGAAGCTGTTTTTGGCTATGCGAATTGCGTTTTTCAAACGAAATTCTTTCAAATGTTATCTAAAACGAATTGGATATAATGACCCAATGGCAGGAGATACATAGGTAAAAAAAAAAAACATCAATAAAAGCATAACATTTTGAAACCATTGTATAAATCTTGATTTAACTACTAATTTAAAGATCTCTGAAGAGTATCAACGACAAGTTACCATTGAGAGTCACCGAACAGTTTTAAGTGATTCGGACAATAGGAACAATTCAACAATTGTACAAAAAGCATGTACAACTGACATTCATTTGAATCATCGAGTTAAACGAATCAGAAACGCACTCGACAACCCTCAACTGAGCGAACAGCACTTTCTCATTATTCTCTCTCTGTGATTCGCAGTCGCATTCTCTTTATCAATAATATACGTGGGATTAGTTGCAGAGCGGCTCTCTCGCAAAATGATTTTCAAGAGCTTTTCGGTGTGGCGGCGATTCATCAAGTTTTAGTCTTTAACTGATCGCTCGCGCCGATGATTTAATTTTTAAGTTAAAACGCTGATTCTTGTACCACTGAAAGAAAACTGCGTCAAGTGTAGCAGACAAAACGATACTCACATTACCTATACTACCACATCTACACATACTTACTTACATATCGACATATGTGTGTGCTAATTTACATATATATATATATACATATATATAAATTTGAACAATTTGCAATATCAATATAACGAACAAATCAAGCGCAACGAAACGCCAATAATAAATAATAAATGCAGTAAAAATCGAAAGTTCTATGTGAATGAAAAGTAATATACATATTAATATATAATATATTTGAAATTTGTAAAATAAATACAGTATATGTTTGTATGAAAAATGTGCAGCGAAATTTGTAAATTGAATTTTGCTCAAACGCGACTCGTTTGCGCTATTATGTGATTCATATTGAATACATACATACATAAGTTTTTTGGGCGTTCAGACAAAAACCGAATTATATATTTATAAATAGAGCGCTCGCTAAACGGAAATCATATTGGACCAATACAAATACTTAGTCACACACTATACGATCAGATAATACCAATATACATATATTATATGTATATATATATATATATGTATATATCAATAGCAATATTTTGTTAACCAATAGCAGAAAATAATAAAACGACGTCATCTCTTCGTAGCTGTCAAGCGGAAACGGAAGAATATATAGCCGCACCTCCGTCAGTTGCATACATACATATACACATAGATACTACCAAGTATAGATACATATATCATATGCATGCATATGAATATTATATATATATATATATATATGCATATATATATTCTCATGTTATGCGGCACATGCTAGCAGTTTGCAAATGAATAGAAATATTAATTGTATGCCATAAAAATATATATGTATGTATGTATGTGTGTGTTTGTGTGTGTGTGTATCTATAACGCAGAAAAAGCGCGTGCAAGAACAAAAACAGAAATAAATTAATATCTATGCTACTTATACATGGCATGCCTTGTGTGTGTGTGTGTGCATGTGTGTGTGTGTGTGAGTAAGAGCTAAGAGACTAAAACGAGCGATCTACACAACGAAAATAATAACAAAAAAACACGAAACTTACGCGAACAAACCAAAAAGAGGAAAAAGAAGAAGCAACGACGAGCAAATAAAGCGAGCGCAAAGCAACAAACCAAAAATAGAACGAAAAACAAAATAGCAGGCAGAAGGAGCGGCGACGTCAACGCGAGCGTCAACGGTGCGTATGCTTAACAACTGACAGCGGCAGCAGCAACAGTCGACGCAGCCGGTCACCCGCTCATTGACTCACTCAACTCTCGTAAACAGCTGCTCAAAAAAAAAAAAACAAAAATAAAACAGAAGCAGCAGCCGCAACAGCAGCAGCAGCAACTGTAAAGAATAACAAGACAATCATCAATTGTTTTTGCGCCGCTGTATCTGATCAACTAAATGTGTGAGTGTCTGTATCACCCTGTGTGCTTATGTATGTATGTGTGTGTGTGTCGATATTTATGTGTGCTGAGAGTGCGACGATCCAAAAACTAAGCAAAGAATTCACTTACTCATAGTTTGTTTCTATATGGTGGCATTCGATTGCCTCACAGAGAATTATAATTACAGTTGTGTTTCTTTTTGGAATTATTGTTAGCGTATGTGCCGAGCATAATTAAACGACACACGAAGAGCGTATCTATTAAAGTTAATGAATATACATATATATACGAATAACAACAACAAAACGACGACGACGAAGACTACGACGACGACAAAGGCGCGAAACTACGACGATTCTTAATCTGAAGAACTTGAAAGAGCATCAGAATTAGAAGGCAAAGAGTGTGAGAGAAGCAGATAAACAAAAGCTGAGCAGCAACGAAACCCAACAAATTGTTGGATCAAAATTTATTTTGCATTAAAAGGTAAGCTAAAATAATCCTTTAATTGCCATATAGTTCTGTAGAGCAAAATTATGTTTAATATGTATTTTAAGAAACTCAATGTATATCTTATAGCAGTAGCCATCAGAAAAAAGTTGATTGATTAACAATTCTTATTCCCTTAGTCACAACAATCAGCATCAGTCATCACGAATACGATGATGATTCGATGATAATCTCTTATAAATACAAATATTTCTCACAATGCTTGGTTTTGTATTTGCGGAAAGTCATTAGTATAATTAGAAATGCAACTCTTATTTCATTTTGGTACAGATTTGTTTTGGTTTTTGAATATGCCCATTGCGTTGAGTTGAAAATATGTTTAAAAATATATTAAAACCACGCACACACACAAACATTTCAATGGGTACTTTAAGCGCTGAAAAATTAGTAAAAATTGCTCGAAGCTGATGTCATTCAGTTGAAGTGCGCTCCCCAATCGTGGTCTTGAAACCAGATGCACTCCTACGCGCAGCCGCAAAGCCGGTTGACTGACTGTGGATGTACCTATGAAGTACATAAGTTCATATATACATACATACATCCACATAATCAAGTATGTCTCTGTGTGTGTGTGTATAATCGATCGTTGAAGAGCGCAAATAGTTTTTTCTTTTCTCTTTTTGTAGCCACTTAAAGATCGAGCAGTCTTAATGCTTTTTTGCTTAGTCACACAGTCAGTTAGTTTCTTTCTTTATTTTTATTTTCATTTACGATTATTTAATTGTTAATCGTATTAAATATTTATTTCTCTTTTTATTTCAGACCACGCTTATACTTATAAAAGGAAAAAATACCATTTGTCTTACGCATAAGACAACGAAAGGAAATTAAACCTAGATGATTGTATTAAAAAAAAACAAGCAAACAAAACAAAACAAAAAAACAAGAATTGTGATATGTACAACTTTACTCAAATATTGAAAAAACATATATAGAGGCGTTTATTCCACGTATTCCGATCCCTAAGCAGACGGGCACGCGAATAATCCAAGTTTTTCAAAACAAAACAAAAAAAAACCAAAGATTAGGGTTTTTAATTAGTTTAACCGATAAGAAGAAGAAAAATCACTCACAAGCAACAATGGCAGAGAAAGTGGAAATCTCACCAGCCACATTTAATCATAATAACCAACAAAACGATGCTCGAAAGGTGCGCAAATCGCCCGATTATCAACCCATTATACCAGGCGTTATATCCAGAGAACGCAGTTTTGTGCGCACCTCCAATCAACAGGTGAGTCTCATATTTAATTACAGATATTACATTTACTTTAATAAACCATAAATTCATTCCTGCTTACAGAACATAAACAAAAGGCGCAGTCTAGCGTTCAATGTGCCTGGAAATCAAACTGGACAAATGCGTGGCAAGCCCGCTATGGATATATATAGACCACCAAGTAAGTATCGATTATATCTATATATATTATACATTATTTAATTGTCAATTTTGCCTAAAAGCTTTGCTTTGAGCTTTGTGCTTTACAAAATTTGTCTACATTTGAACTTAAAAACCATCTTCAATCTCTTTTTTATTCTATCTATCGATCTATCTTTCTATGTATATATCTATCTGTAGAAAAAAAAACTAATAAATAAAACTATTTAGAGAATTTTTACCCAAAACGAGTTTGAGACCGATGTGATTATAAATGTGACTTAAATGCTCATCTTATAGTTTTCCACTATAGTAAATAATTCTGGCTGAAAATATTATAAATCATCATATTATTAAGGAAAGTAGTGCACCCAAATGTTTTATTAAAATTTTGATAAGAATAAGATAGCGAAGTAATCAATTATGGCAGGCTATTTAAGCAGCCAGTGAGAGAACTCCACAACCATATTATTAAACTAGATAATAATATTCTCATATTATCAATGTGCTTTTGAGGCAACTGCTTTAACACAAGCTCCGCAATTCTACACAAAATTTAAATGCATAAACTATATCCAAGTATTTATTTTGTCAATGTTTTCTTTCTTCTTCTTTTCATATATGTCTATCTCATAATCGTACTCGATATATGTTATTGTATCCACAATCCACAAACTTTTTCGCCCAACCAAAATTCCAAAACCCTCCAAAACTAAATCATTGTTAAATGTTTAAATATATTTGTTATATATTCTCTACCTGTGTGTAACTATAATTGTCTTTTGATCGATGATAACAACAATTGAACGTTGTCAGATGTACGCGGCTGCGATTTAGCCCTTGGCGGCGATGGTGCTGATGGTGTTGGTGATGTTGGTGGTGGTGGTGGTGGTGTCTGTGGTGGGGGTGTCTCGAACAAACTGAACATAAATGCCCAGGAGTTCACAATGACGAGCAACTCACGTGCGACGCCACCGTCTGAGGCACTTAACAGTAATCGGTAACGGCAATTCCATTTTTAATTCGAAACTTTACCCCTCTTGCGATCTTCTTGCAGAGCTAAACCACAATCTACAACATTCTTCCAGTTCGTCTCTCATATTCCCCATGGCTGGCGGGCCAACTCTTCTTCAGCAGCAGCAGCAACAGCAATATGCAACAGCTGCCTCCAATGCTGCGATCCTCAACAGACGCCAGGCGGGCCTATCTCTGGGCAATATGCCAACCTCCTTGAATAACCTGAAGGGTGTGCATCATAGATCCATATTGGTAACACATCCAATCAGCCCAATGGGCGGACAGATTCCGCTTATGAACTCACCCTCCAGCGGCAACATATTACATGTAAGTGTTCTGTACTTTCGAATTTTATTTATAGCTATACAAATATTTATATATTTATTTCCTCTTCTTGCAGTCGACTAACCGGGTCAAGTTTGCGCCAGATCCTCGTGGTCAGAAGACAGTGCAACACAACCAGTTTGGAGGCAACAACTACAGCAACGCACAACAGCAATATCAATTGAATGGCATTGATCCGTATGGAACCCTAAATGGAACCGCATTGCAACGATCCAAGTCACTGTCGTCGGCTGATGCGCTGACACGCGGCTTGGCCAGCTTGGGCCTGGGCCTGGGAAACGAGGTGGCCGACATTGGCCAGTTTTCGCCAGAAATACAGTCACTGATCGAAACGGCACTGGAGGATCCAAATAAACTGAATTCCCGCTGTCTTATGGAGCTAACGTCTCAGTTCATCAAGCGTGCCGTTGAGAGTCGACGTTTTGCTTTGCCCATTTCACGTCTCTGCCTCAACATCATTGCCAAGGAGCAAAAGGAGACGTTTTTGGAGGCGCTGCTCAACACATGCCGCCAGTGGTATCAAGAACGTGAAAAGGTATGCTTCCAATCTCGGTGATTTGAATTTCAAGACGAATCGATTAAACTTCAACTTTCCTGTCCAACAGTTGCTGTTTGCCATTCAGGGCATGAAGTCGCCATCGAGGGTGAGGTTCACGGCTTTCATGGCATTTCTAACGGAAATGTTTTGCCAGCTGAAACGCCGCCAGCTGCAGCTGCGCCCCCACAGCGAGGGCACACCCCCACCATTGGTGCTGCTCAGTTTGCTATCCAAATGCTGCGAGGATTGTGTGCGTCCACCTGTGCGTTCACTATCCGAGGTAAGCTTAATTAAACTATTTTTGTATTCCATTTATTTATTTAATTCTTGCATATGAAGATTGAGTGCCTGTTTTACGTTTTGACCTGCATTGGACAGGACATGGAGCAACAGCTGCCACAGCAATTGGAGCTGCTCATGTCCTTGGTGCGCGATGCGTTTCTCAATGCTGGCGATGCTGCGGCAGCTATTCGCCGCACCCTGCTACAGCTGATCGAACTGAAGGCATCCCACTGGCAACTGCCTGGAAATACGGTGCTTTACTACACCCACACCAACAATTAGGCGGGAGGAGCAATTGATTGATTCGGGCTTTGCGGGCACCAGCGCAATTTGTTGCAATAAGTTAACCAAACATTATTATTGTGGTCGAATTGCATTTAGGCCCAGTCCTCATGTAAAACGCAACTATTTATCGTACTCACGCAGTACCATAGTCCATAAGCAATATTTATTTTGGAACTATAGATAGATGACTAACCCAGGCTTAACTGTACACATTTACCAGCTCAACACTTATCCTAGACCCATGTGAGAAACACAACCGCACCCGGGGGAGCAGCTCAATTAACCCGCCTCCTCCTTTCCCCATCTGGTAGAATTGATGATTCTGATTATATAAGGCTCAAATTATACTATTGTGAACCCATATTATTTACGTGTAATAAAAACTACGCTAGTCAAAAAATAATATTGTAATTGCACTTCTCTTTTGTAAAAAGGTACATTGAAGTATAGAAGCATAAAATAAATAAGTTTAAAAATGCGTTACAAATGAAAAGATTTAAAAGTAACGAGATGGCTGATCAACTTCTATACTGCATCGAAGACAAGCGAGAAAAGCATCGATAGTTTGTCTATATATTTCTTATCGATATATCGATTTTTACTTTTGCACCCCAACAATAGGTTCGCTGCAGCAACGATTAGAATTTTTCGTTCATTTCGTTTTTGTCTTCACCCCATACAGTTAAAAATCCTACAAGTAAGTCTGTTTTTATAATTAAAATCAATATGTAGGTATTTAAAATGTAATTTTAAAATAAATTATTTGGGGAACAACATAAATTGTATCCCTATTGATTGTTTTTGGCATGAAAAAAATAGAAATACTTTTTAAAATGAAATTTGAGTGTGCATTTTACCACGTGTTACAAAATGGCGTCGCTTTACTTGCATTCGGAGCGATGAAAACTAATTAAAGTGCTTAAATGATGATTAATTTACTTACCTTTTGCGGTTTCCACCAGAAAGCGTTAATTCGCTTAAAGATGGCCTTAGGTGTCTGATTCAAGCACTTTAAATGGGATGCGTAAATCGATCATCGTACATAACCTACAAAAAATGCTAATAAAATTGAATTTATTTCAATTACAGAATGGCGGACGCAGCTCCAGCCCGTGGTGGATTCCGTGGTGGATTTGGCTCTCGCGGTGGTCGTGGTGGACGTGGTCGCGGTCGTGGACGTGGCGCACGCGGTCGTGGTGGCAAGGAGGACTCCAAGGAGTGGGTGCCAGTCACCAAGCTGGGTCGCTTGGTGCGCGAGGGCAAGATCAAGTCTCTGGAGGAGATCTACCTGTATTCGCTGCCCATCAAAGAGTTTGAGATCATTGATTTCTTCTTGGGCTCATCGCTGCGTGACGAGGTCCTCAAGATCATGCCCGTCCAGAAGCAGACGCGTGCCGGTCAGCGCACCCGTTTCAAGGCCTTTGTTGCCATTGGCGACAACAACGGTCACATTGGCCTGGGCGTCAAGTGCAGCAAGGAAGTGGCAACTGCCATCCGTGGCGCCATCATTCTAGCCAAGCTGTCTGTTGTGCCCGTTCGTCGTGGCTACTGGGGCAACAAGATCGGCAAGCCCCATACCGTGCCCTGCAAGGTTACCGGCAAGTGCGGCTCCGTCTCGGTGCGTCTGATCCCAGCGCCCCGCGGTACCGGCATTGTGTCTGCGCCCGTTCCCAAGAAGTTGTTGACCATGGCTGGCATTGAGGATTGCTACACCTCCGCCCGTGGCTCCACTGGTACTCTGGGTAACTTCGCCAAGGCAACCTATGCTGCCATTGCAAAGACATACGCCTACCTGACGCCAGACTTGTGGAAGGAGATGCCTCTGGGCTCCACGCCCTACCAGGCCTACTCTGACTTTTTGTCTAAGCCAACGGCCCGTCTGCATGCCGATGCTTAAGATCATCGCGAACCAGATTTTTTGAATAAAAACAAAACATCTTCATCTTAAAAATATCTAAATTGTTTTTATTTTTAAACACAATTATTCAAGCTGATTTCTATGATCTCATTGATTCTGTAGAAGTTTTGACGATACTGGATGCAAGGATAATTCAACATCCCTTAGTTATCAGCCTTAACGTATATTTTTTAAAACAATTTGAACATCGTGAATAATCTTAAATCTGAACAGTTTTGATTACGATTTGACACCGTACGCCTCGGGCATACGCTCAATGGCGTACTTGTGTGCAGCCACATACATGATGGGCACTCCCGGTATTTTGCGTATGCGGTTCTTCAGATCCTTGTCATTCGTGGCCACAATGTAACATTTGTGCTGGCGCACTCTCTCGACCAGGCAGTCGTCGGCGTAGGTGCCCTTGTGCAGGCAGGGCAAGCGCTCGAATCGGGGATCAGATATGATGCGTAGGGCCAACTTATACTTGTTGCCCAGTTTCTCCAGTTCGGCACGAACACAATCTGATATATACGGTATGCATTTGGCGTAGAGGCAGTCCATCATGCACTGCATTATGTCCAGCTTGTTCTTAATGCTGAAATTAATGAAGTTCGTGTCGAGGACGATGTGATAGGGTGGACCCAGCTGCGTGTTGTACTGGAAGAATAGCGCCGAGCTCTGCTGTGTAGCTTCGTGCACTTTAATTGCATGGGGATCGTGGGCCTGTTTGCGTTTAAGGCGCATCTTATCTTTAATCCGGGAATCGGTGGGTTTTAGCAAACGCTTCAGTTGTGCATTTTTCTGTTTCTGTATCTTTTTGGTCTTCTTTTGCTTGCCCTACGGTTAAGTAAATGATAAATATGTTTATTCGCTGTCATTTGAAAGGGTGCTCAAACAAATTTACCATTATTATAGTTATTTAAATACAATGTAAACAATTGGACAGCGAAATGCGATACGATTGCACGTGTGGATAATTTTTGTTGTATTAACTCTCAGCTGTTCTTGCAGAGCTGCAATGTCTTTCGATTAAATGCCACTCTGCATTCATCGATAGTGGGCAAAAGAAACTCTGGTAATATTGAAAGTTAAATCGAAAAGTTTTCATGGTTATGCCACGTGCTTCCATGCTTCATTTGCTGCCGAAATTTTGTGAAAGATGGTGAGTTTTGTGCTATATTCTTTATTAAAGCTAAGCAATTATTAAATATCTAATACCACAAATGATGATACTGATGACGAGACTGAAGAAACATTTTCTCGGTTTTGTACTGTATCTTTCAATGCAATCTCGAACAATATTTGTTCCTTTAAAGATGAACCGGCAATCTGATGGCTTATATGTTTTACAATGTGCATATCTGTTTAGTTAAGATCATTTATTGAACTCGATATTTTTAATGTTTCAGGGTTGAAAGCACTGATTCTTTTGATGTGGGAACGCATAGAATTTGTCAAATAAAGAAGGTAATTATTATTGATCAATATTGTTGAAAGCACATGTGATGAATTTATACACAGACCTGTACTGAGTAAAACCCATGTGGAACTCGATGTAAACTGACCCAAACTCTTTTTACAGAGATGTATTTAGTTTTATTTGTGCTAACAAATTTTTTTACTCAATTTTTAGGCGTGATGTCTTGAAAAAACATGGTGCTGAGACTAGAACATAGCGTCGTTTTCGAAGATATGGCAAAACAGTTGCTCATATGGTAAGCAAACGATCAGTTTATATTTTAACACGCATATGATGATATTAAACACAGACCTGTTCTGAGATAACTCATGTAGATTTGTATTTAATAAACTGATAAAATTAAAAAAAAAAGAAGGGAATATTACTAAAACAGTTTCATCCATTTTACTGATGTGCACTTTTCTTTTGCAGACTCGATGGAAAAATGAGGTTATGGCGTTTTCTTCGCCACTTTAAGGTAAGAAGTTTATAAACTTCCATTGGGAAAAACTGTGTCGGTGTCACCACGTGCTCACAGTTGCGACTGCAACATGGCGGCTAAATATAAAAAATATAGTGCTTATATGATGATTACTTAACTTACCTTTTGCGGTTTCCACCAGAAAGCGTTAATTCGCTTAAAGATGGCCTTAGGTGTCTGATTCAAGCACATTATATATAATTTATTTATGCATATGTAATTTTATGTTACAATACTAATGCATTTTCCATATTTTGTTTGCAGAAAGACGTATTTTATGCTCGGGCTGATATAACTCCTTGATTTATTGACTATATTTATATTGTATGGTTATGGAGTTGTGTGCTCCAATAAAAAGTTGATCAAAGAAATATTTGTGTATTATTCTCTGTATTTTTGCGTTGCCTGGCTTTTGGGATACTTATAAGATGAATCGATATGCAAACGGTTGCATAAATAAAGAAGTTTGTTTTATGTATAATATACACTTCGGTGTTCGGGTCAGTAGTGCCCAACAAATTTGTAGCGCAGCTGCTCGTATGTCATTTAATTGCGAAGTATTTCAAAAGGCATTCGTTTGCGCGCGTCAATTGTGGATACACCCTGTATAGCAACAGAGTGTGCAGGAGTCACCCTGTGCCATGAGACTCGCTAGTTTAATTAAACCGCTGCTGTTGCGCTTAAATAAAAACAGATGCCGCCTTTCTGCACAACAATATGCAACAAGTGTTGCGAACGAGGAATACGCACTTGATACCAAAGAGTTTATAGATTTTAAGAAACAATTGCGACAACAAAACGTATACAACAAGGATGGACACACGTGCCTGCAACTTGAATGCCGGCTGTGCGAACGTTTGCCGGCTGCAGCAACAACAACAACAGCAACGCGTTCATCGCATTTACCAATTGCTTACATAAACAAAAGAACTGGTGAGTGTCGAAAGAAAAGAGTCGCATTTCACAAAGTGAAGCGATATATTAATTTTAATTTCATCATTTTTAGGTGCCTTTATTTGCCCTAGTTGCGATGTGAAGGCAACTCTCTCGCAGGCTCTGGCAGCCTATCAGACACCGCCGGCCGCTGGATATCAGCGAGCACCAATGAATAAATCACTCTACAAATCACGTTACCCCAATCTCGTGAGCGTCACAACGGAGGCTTGCGAAGCGCTCGGACTGAAGGGCTTAAAGGAAGCGCAACTGAACGCCATTGGTGCCCAGTATGAGTCCGAACAGCATCTGTTGCACTTTGCGCTGCGCAATGCGACACAAACGGTGGTCGGCGAGAAGGTGCTGAACCTCAGTGATCGCAGCGAGCTCACATTCCAGGGCAGTGTAAGTTCTGGCCTGCTCATTCACGGCGCCGCCAACAAGAGCAAAGCTGTGCTTGTGAGCAATCTGCTCGATTTCATAGTGCTGGCCACGCAGAACATTGAAACCCGTACGTAATCAAGATGAGGTATTCTTAATCTGTTTAACCTGTGTTCATTTCAGATTGCATCGTCTGCTTGCCGTATGCGTTGCAAGTGTTGCCGCAGGAGTGTCTGCCTGGGCTGGAGCGTTTCAAGGAGCTGGTCTTCTGGCTGCACTATGATGCCACCCACAGTTGGGATGCGGCACGCGCATTCGCTCAGAAAATGGATGAGAAGCGCTGCCTGCTGATACGACCCACGGAAACGGAGCCGGCACCGCATGTGGCACTCCGACGTCGCCTCAACATGCGCCACATATTGGCCAAGGCGACGCCGGTGCGCCACAAGGCGATAACCACATTCAATGCCCTGCGCAACGATATACTCAGTGAGCTGCAGAACATCGAGAAGGTGAATGGCGTCAAATGGAAACGTTTTCCGGTGCTCAACAAGCTGCTCAAGGGTCATCGCAAAGGTGAGCTGACCATATTGACGGGTCCAACGGGCAGCGGTAAGACGACGTTCACTAGCGAATACTCGCTGGATCTGGCCATGCAAGGGGTTAACACACTGTGGGGCTCCTTTGAGATACGCAACACGCGACTGGCGGCGACCCTATTGCGTCAATTTGTTGGCTATCCCCTGGATGATAAACTGCATGAATTTGAGCATTGGGCCAGCGAGTTTGAGCGATTACCACTGTACTTTATGACCTTTCATGGGCAGCAGCCACTCAAGCCGGTGCTGGAGGCCATTGAGCACGCTCAGTACGTCCACGATATATCCCACGTGATTATTGACAATTTACAGTTTATGATGGGCGTTTCATCCTATCGTGGCGATAAGTTTTGGGAACAGGACTCGATTATAGCGGCGTTTCGAGCCTTTGCCAGCAAGCATAATGTGCACGTCACACTGGTTATGCATCCGCGCAAGGAACGACAGGAGGATGAGTTGACGACGAGTTCAGTATTTGGCACAGCCAAGGCCACCCAAGAGGCGGACAACGTGCTCATCATACAGGATAAACGGCTGACAGCGGTGCGTGGCAAGAAGTATCTGCAAGTTGCGAAGAATCGCTACAGCGGCGACCTGGGCATCATGCCCTTGGAGTTTGATAAGGATGCTCTCAGCTACTCCAGCTCAGTGCAGAGTGCCAAGCGGCGACGGGAAAAAGCATCACCAACAGCAGACAGCAGCTGACATCGATTCTAATGTAATGTTTAAATAATTTAACTTAGTTTAAGCGTTGAACTATTTGTAAATGCTTATTATCAAGTACCATCTTAATGTCTATCCTAATATTTATCGACAAAATTTTTTACATCCACAAAGGGCGAAGGTCTTTATAATAACCAAGACAAACAATGTGTTTCTGTATATAAACCAGGTCATATCTTAGTCGTGTCCTTGATAGTCTTTGGTTCTTAAATTAACTCGTTAACCTTGAATGCAGTTCGATTGAGGAAGTCATTGCCATTCTAACACATCGTGTCCTTAAAATATCTAAGGATTTGGCCGAGTTGGAACTATTTTTCTGAAAAGTAATTGGGCTAATCTCTTGAGCATCCGAAAAGTAAGCTTTAGCAATTTACGCATTTTTATACGGCTTATTTGGAATGATTTGATGCTGAAAATTCGTTTCATCCTAAAAGTATGCAACATGTAAACCAATAAAAAAACCTTTCATTTTCTTAATTTAATTTAACATATGTGGTATTTCTTCTATATACTAAACCTAGACATTTTGACATTTTTTGAAGCTTAACTTTATTTACATAAAACACAATTGTCTAACTGAATTCGTCCTTATGTAGAGCTCTGCTTGTAATTCTTTGTGTTTAGTATCTTTTTGCCGCACATTGCACAAATGGCCTTCTTGTATGAGCATGCCTGGCAATAGTGGGCTCCCACCTGATGCACCTTCTGCCTGCAAATGCTGTACGGGAATAGTCAATGCATTAGCTCCGCACATTCATTAATTTGTTATATTAATTATGTATACTTACCGACATGGTGCGAAACTGTTGCCAATGGGATTGTACCGTTGTTTAGCTGATGATAATGCTTTGTTCTCGTTGATTTTACGTCCACCGGCAGCTGCGGTGCTTGTCCTCCAAGGATTTGGCGCTGAGACCTTTGACAGCTTCGACTCACATTTTTCACATACCATTTTAAAATGCAAAATGGTATTTATTTCTACTTATATTAGAATTCTGCCTAATGTTTTGTTTATGTGATTAGGATTGCCAAAGTCTGTCAACAAGCTGTTATCGATAATAGTTGGGTTAGATACGCTACTTGAGTTTAAGGTGACCATAAAAATTTACCTAAAATGTTATCGGTATCGATCCAAGCATCAACATATGAAATAAACAAATTATGACTACGAAAACGAAAAATAATGAACTGCGGTAAGCTTTATTTTAATAGAATTAAGGTACATTATAAACAGCAAGTACTCTTTGATCATAGAGAACAACTAATAGCGGCTGTGCTTAAAAAGCGCGCAGCATTCGCACGAGCTCATCAGATTGTTGTCGCACTTATGGAACCACACATAGACGAAAAGGATTTTCTTGACATGGTAAATTATAAATCTGATTAATACAACTGCATAAATAAATGATATGTTTTTTTTTCCTTAAGCTCGCTCAAATTGGTCCAGAAAATTACGCAGATATTGTTGAGGAACGACACATTAACAAGCTATGCGGTTATCCACCTTGTGATGTTGCTGTGGAAAAGTAAAAATATAATATTTTACAAGGTTGATTTATATGTTAATCTAATTAATGCTTTACAGCGTGCCGACCAAAAAGTATCAAATTTGTGGCATTAAGAATAAGGTGTATGATATAACCGAACGGAAGAAGTTTTGTTCGGGCCATTGCTTCAAAGCCTCCGAATATATCAAGTCCCAAGTGCCAACTTCTCCGCTCTGGCTGCGTGACAAGGAACCCAATCCAAACTTCAAAATTTTGCCGCGTGAGAATTTAATTCGAACTGAATAGAAATTGTGACCCTTTCGTTTTGTCAATGATATTTGTAAGTGTATTTATTAAACACCTAAGGGTTGTTCACTATAGTAAATATATATTTTTGTATGTGCGTTCATTACGATTCATTTCATTGATTTGGAAACTTAAGCATTTCGAAATTGTAAGTAATTAATAATAATGTTGGTAATGTATTAGAAAGAATAGCTCAATGAGCCGCATGCATTGTGTACATTATTTAAATCATGATAATATTGTCGCGCTCTAACGTCAAATCAGCTTCGCGTTTCGCATCTTCCTCGGACCACTCACCGCACTGATCCAGCACGTCCGTTTCACGTGGTGGTTCCGTCTGTGCAAATTACAAAAAATAAGAGTGATTTATATGCATGTAATATGGGATTTGATTAGTGTCTACCTCTTTATCGCCAGCTGCCAACTTGGCAAACATATTCGCATACAACTTCTTCTCCTTATCCTTGTTTAGCTTAATCTTTTGCTTACAAATAACAACATGATTGGCAGCAGCCTTATTACCCGGCTCCAATTGTATGACCTGCAATTGTGAATTCAATTATTGCTGTTCTTATATTTGATAATTTTCTAGGCGATTACTCACTTTCTGAAAGTCTTCCAAAGCGTCCTCCAACTCATTGATAATCAGGTTGCATTGTCCGCGTCGATATAAGGCCTTGACATTGTTAGCATCCAATTCAAGAACAGCATTACACTGCAAAATTAAATTGACAATAAATACTACATTAAATATATTAAGATGCGGCTTAGGTTACCTCCTGCTTGGCCTCAAAGTGATCGTTGGATTTCTGATGGCACAGGGCGATGTTGCTATGTGTGGCAATTTTGAGTGACTTTACTTCGTCGCTGGTGTTGTCCTTAATGCTCGGCAACAGATTCTTGCACTTGTTGTACATTTTGATGGCCAATTCAAAGTTCTCCTTTTTGAAGTAGTTGGTGCCCTTCTCCTTGTAGACTTTCGCTTCGGCAACTCGTTCGCTGTCACTCAACTTCCACTCTTCCAGTCCCTTGCCGCAGTCAATCAATTTCACAGTATACTCAATCGTAGAGTTCGATGGTATCTTAAATGCCTCGTTCCCTTTGGCACCGAACGCGTATTTCGCATGGATTTTGATTCTGTGAATAAGATGTAAATATATGCGTTTTAGCTATGCATTTTGGTCGATCCATTAACATTTACTACGCTGGGCATTTTTCTATTTTATGCTAATAAAATCATTTATAGAAATTGTTCCTTAAAACGTAGGAAGAAGGGGAGTGTTAATCACGTACTTGGATGTTTCGCCAATATTCATTTTTTCCATGGCCAGTTCAAGGCCTTCGACAATACCAATGGCACTACCCTCGCCATAGTCGAACTCAACATCGCGTTCGTCAAATACACGCCCATCGAAACTTCCCGAAATGTGAGCTGAAATTATTTGACAAAAAAAAGTTGCTTTTTGATTTGTGTTTAAACCACAAAACATTGATAATGGTGACAAACCTTTAACGAAGGCGCCGTCGCTGGGTGTTCGCTTCTTATCGCTCTGTTCCAGAATTATCCGCTCAATGCTTCCATCCTGATTTGGACTGAGATCCTCGCTCTTCCAGCCCAGCATTTCTAGCTGTAATAATAAAACGTGTTTAGTCCCCTAGGACGGTACACTTATTATCCCCGATAATACCTCAAATATGAGCGTGGAATCTGGCGGTATACTTGGCGGGCTGCCAGCAGCGCCGTAAGCGTAATTTGGAGCACATGTTAGGAAACAACGCTCGCCTAGCTTCATGGTGGCGACACCCATGTCAAATGCCTTGATGACGCGTCCTTCGAAAATCGCATATTTCAATCAGTAATCAATTGTTTAGGGATTAATATGCTTGCAGCTCGTTTACCTTTGCCCAACAAAAATTCAAATGGTTCATTGCGACCCACGCTGGAATCGAACTCGGTGCCGTCAACAAGTCTGCCGGTATAGTGAAGCGACACTTTGCAGCCATTGATTGGCGTTTCGACGCCGCTTCCCTCTTTCAGTATTTCCTTGAGAACACCGCCATCGCCAGAGAGATCGATTTTCTTTGCTTCTTCCGACATTCTTTGAGTTATATTTCTGACTTTCTGAATGACACTAACCTGAACTGAGCAAACGAATTAGTTGTAAAAAAAACATCGAAGACTCGATTTATCGATGTCGGATTTATCATTTTCGGCTTCAACTATACGATGTATCGATATTTGTACAAGATTTCTCACGTTTTATGTTAACTTATGTATATGCAAAGTTTTACGAAATGTAAACGCTGCCACCTCTTATCGATTAATCGATATTTCAAAGAGAAACGGTTAACACACAAATTTTATTTAATTGAACAATTATTCCAATTGCAAAGACAAAATGCTCAAAATTGAGAGCATTAGAAATGGATGCAAATAAAATAATCTGGTTTTCCATTAGATTGTGCCTTAATGACATTTGCAAGTTTTTATATTTGCGAAGCCAAAGTAATTTGAAGAATTGCGCCGAATTGAGTGTTATTTCTATATATCATTTTTGAGAAAGAAATAAGAAATATCATAATCAAAACGTTAATAACTGCAATTTGTTGTTTGTTTTATGAATACATATATTATTATAGTATATATATATGATCTTTTCGGTTTATAGCTAAATCAATACAAAATTTTTGTTTAAGCTACAAGTTACATATAACTCCTACTGGCATACTTAGATAAGTTAACGTGTTTATATTCGCACTAATTATGTATGTACAAAATTTGAATATATGTATATGTACACACTCGTATATGTATTTTTCTCATAATGCTAAAACGCACATATTTGTTTATAGTTAAATATATTTTTATATAGTTTAGAGCTTTCAATCGCCTGCTTATTGATTTAATGCGTGTAAGTCTAAACAAATACAATATGAGTGGTGCGTAGATTTATGAAGGTTTTGGTTTTTTTTTCGTGTAAATAAGTATGATATAGTAGTTGATAATAGTGTAGTTTATTAATAATATTGCAAAAAGATTTGGGACTCTTATTTAGATTGGTTTTTCCTTTCATTATTCTTTGAGCTATTACAACTGCGCCTTAACAAACATCCATAAGTATACTAAATGATGGAGAAAAAATCGATTTTGATGGCTCAGATGGTGTTGAAACAAAATAGGCCAGACTTCATATATATGTATATCACAGATATACAATGAAGTTTTATGAACGATAAAATTACAAGGTGCTGCAAGCATATATAATTTTTTGGCTTAAGGAATTTACAATCAAATTGATTATTTAATTAACATTTATTTGTTTTTTTCTCTTTTTTTTCAATTTTACAATTATACGATTACTCTTCTCATTTTGGCAGGAACACTTTGCGGTTGGTTCGTTTCTAACTGATCAAATTAACAAAACACAATACAATACAAAACCATTTCGAAATATGAATGTATCCTCAATGAACGAAACTCTACTCAGTCGTTGTCAGATATTTGGTTGACTTCAGCACTATCTAATGAAACATTGGAGCTGAGCTTAAACTCTATCAATATAACTTATTAGCTGGAAACATTTCCATAGGTGAAATGCATGATTGTATTGTCCATGTTAATTTTCATAGTCTCTTACACCATAATTTGATTTTTTGTTGTTTTGTTTTTTACTTTGTTAAGAGTCTTCAATTTTCGATGTTTTGAAATAAAGTTTTCGAAAGGCATTTGTGTAATTTTTTGTGTAATTTTTTGTATAATAATTGCCAAGCAAAATTAGGCGTCTGGGATATGTTTCATAGCACTAAGGATACTGGCCATAATAGTAAACTATATAGAGGGCGGGCGGGGAAGAGGGGATTTGAGGGCAACTCTCAAATGCTAATGCTAGGTTGAAGACATATGCATAGACTTATAATAACATAATTTGCACTAATTGAAAATTGTATTTCTTTAGAATTTACATAATAATATTTTTGATGCCATTTTTGTTTCGATTTTTTTTTGTTTTGTATTTTTAATTTGTTTTCAGCTTAATGTAAATAAATTATATCACAACAATAGAGACAAAGTTCGTGTGTGAGTGTGTATGTGTGTGTGTGGGTGGGTTGTGTGAGTGTGTGGGTGTGTGATGTGCTGCTTTTGAGTCTCGACTAATTAACAAAAAGGCAAAAGGAGAGGGCTGCACGCAGACTACAAAATTAAATTAAACATATTACACTATTGATACTTATATACAAAACGTTGGGCTTAGTACAACATTTGGAGTTTGATAGCACACATGTACATACACATAAATATACACAAGCATACAGCATACAGCATACACACACACACACATACAGCGAGATTATTGTTAATACAGCTACGCACACACACTCAGACACCCACACATACATAAGCAAGGACACACGCTTGCGCGCCGCAATGTTCCACTGAGATCCAATACAGGAGTAACACACACCCCAAAATGTAGGCGTGTCTCGGCCAGCACCGATTTAATATTAACTCTTGCTGAGCGCCTTCTTTTTTCTTTGTACCAGAATATCGTAGAACGGATTGTGGCTGATGGATTGCGTCAGGCGCTTTATCCACTCCTGTTGATCCTCCTCTGTTGCGGCAGACATGCGATATACCGTATGTTTACCCTCCACCACCTGAAAATTGAGGAGTTGAAGTCAATTTCGGAGTTTCAAGATCGATTTCTGTGCACTCACCTTGCCCTCGGAGTCAGTCTTGCATGCCTTGATGATATCGGCGCCGCCGCTGGCAAATAGTTCGAAACAATGCGGCTTACTGCGATCCGGTATCTCGCGCACCGATATATTCTCCAGCGGTATTATGCCACGCGGTTCCTTATCCGTGGTATACTCGAAATAGTACAGGCAATTATCGTTCAATATGAACCAGCGTCGCTTCCACGATTTGTATCTGTATTAAAGAACATATGCAATTGTTACGTGTTTCGAAAATGTGGCAAGTTGAGTGAAGTTTACCTGCCGCCCTGCTTCCACAGCCAGCCCTCCTTGTCGGGATTGAAGAAGGTGTGCATCAGATCGTTGCCATCGTCTTGGGGTATTTTGAAGGGTTCTGTGCGTATGGACTCGTAGAGCGATTCGAGCAGACCGCGTGGCAAATCACCGCCGTTGTTGATGCCACGATTCATCGAAATGAATTGCTCAACGGTGGGTTTGTCCTTGACCTATAAGTTACGATACGAAACCGAAAACCATTTAAATTCTTGCACAAACTATACAATTTATTAAAGAATTAATAAAGAATCTTGAAGATGGCAACAGGCCAATTAATTGGAACTGAAAGCACACACGCATGCAACTTGTGTGTGAGACTTGACCTATTTATAGCCCTATGCCCACCAATTTTTGTAATTGCCACCAACTCACAGTTTGACTTGGGGCGGAAAAGGGAAAGAAAATGCGGAACTACGTTGGAATTTGTTGACAGTGTATACAATTCCGCGCTAGTCGTTGTTGGTTGTATTCTTTTTTTTTTTTGGGCAACGCGTCGCGCATTTCGCGAGTTCTATTCACTTTTTTTCAGAAGCAAACCATCGCCAACAGCTTCCTGTCGTTACCAAACACTTCCGTTCGCAAACCGTGGCAGTGAAATGTAATTTGGTGCCAATAAAAAACACAAAAAAACAGACCAAACATTTATTGGCTCATTTTGTATTCTTTAAAAACGATTTTAAAAAAAGAAGGGAAAAGTGAGTTAATGGATACATTTCAATTTAAATGGATTGGAAGTGTCAGTTGAAAAACTGAAGCTAAACTTTTTTGTTCGCCTTGAAAATTATTAAATATCTATTTTTAGTGAAAATAAATTGCATTTTTGGTAACATTTTATACATTGGTTGTTGAAAAACGGTAATTGCACTATTACAATTCATAATTTGTTCCACTTTCACTAAGTATTTAATTGATATTTAAGTGCATTTAATGAGCACTAATTAAGACAAGTTGTCCCCTTAATTTCCCTGCAGCGCTTACTCAAGAGATAGTTTTCCAAATAACTCACCGATGGATTGTGCAGTGATGTATTGAGCATGATAATGGCAAAGCTGAGCACATAGCAGGTATCCGTATTGGTGAAGATATCCGGATTTAATTGGCAATAGCGTTGCGCAAATGTCTCCATCATGCGATCGATCTTTTGGGCCTCGCCGGGTAACCGAAATGACCACAGGAATTGCCTAGACGAGTAAATAAACGTTTAAATTATTAAATACATTATCTAATGTGAAGGATTAAAGTTTTAAAGCCAACCTCAGTGCTTGCACCAGTATTAGATTGGTGAAATCGTGCAGGGCCACAAATGCCTTCAGCACATCCTCGTTGAAATCGTTTTTCTCGCCGAGGTAATCGCCTGGAAAGACGCAGAACAGAAATGAGTATGAAAATTTATGTTATGCATTATGAGTTTTAATTGAATTTCCAGCATGCGGGCGCGTCGCACTCTCCGACGGACAATTTATGTGCTGCTCACTCACCTATTGCCGTTTTGTTCAGGCCCTCGCCCTTGTAGAGGAAATGCGCCACATCCTGCGGATCGTGACGTAACAGTCGATTCTCCACGAGATACTCAATGCCTGCAAGAAACAAGAATATATATATGTAAAAATAATCCAGCGATTATTAGTATATGTCTGTAAGTATGACTGGTAAACAAAATCACTGTTGTTGTTTATGCAACAACTGCACTTAGAGCTGATAAGAATGTCGTCGCAAATTCAAACCGATTCGATTCGAATGCAAGCTAAACAAGCCCAACATGTAATCTGCCCCTATATGTATATATATATATTAGATATATAAATGTGCTTATATAAGTCTTGCATATATCGGCGACGACCCGCAACATAAGCCACAGCAATCTCAATAATAATAAGTGCGGGTGGGGCGTAGTATAAGAAAGAGGAGCGCCCACAATGACGAGACACATCGATGTCATTATTTGCCAATCAAAACGCCGAGAGCTCGAGCTGCTCAACAATTTGCGATAAAAGCCGGAAAGCAAGTAAAAACATTAAAAAGAAACACACACAAAATAGAAAAACCAACAGAGAGCTCCAGGAATTTTAGTAAAACGCATTAAGAGCAGACAAAAAAAAATTGCGCTAAAAATACGACAGACAACAAATTTGGGAATCGCGTGAGTTGCGCCCGATCCAACTGTAGATGGAGCCACAAAAACGAATACATGCTGTGTGGCATGTGGCTTACTAAGTGCTTTATAATGATGGGTTGCAATGGGACATTACAAAAATATAGATATCTGCTGGAATAGTTTGATATTAGTTTAGATTTTTATTTAAAATAATACTTTAAAGTGTTGCAAATTTGTTTTGATTTCAATTTTGGGAAATCAAAGTAAATCAGAAACACAAGATTTGGGGCAACCCTCGCAGTGCCCAACAAGTTGAGCATTTATTTCATCGCATTTCTTTTGCTTCAAGCGCAGACAGATTGGCTTTTCAGATTGACGCTTTTGTAGTTTTGTAGTTGTTGTTGTTGCTGTCAATGGGAATCCATATAAACAACAACAACAACAACAAGAAGAATAACAAAAGCAATAGCAACAATAACCACAATAACAACAACGATGACAATATTAATGCGAAATGGCAACGATAATGACAAAGGAGTCCTGGCCTGGAGGAATCGCCCCGAGTTCGACAAAGTTTCCTTTTTGTTTTGTTTTTTTTTTTTTGCGCGTCACACGCGATTAGCATCAGCAAGTTGGCAGTTGCCCACTCCACTGCCCAGTCCCCAATCCCTCCCTCTAATAGGGAATACCTACATCGTTTCTGTGCGTTATGGATAGCACATTTGTGAGCCATTAATTTAAGTGTGGTGTTTGTGTGTGTGTGTGTGTGTGTGTGCGTGTGAGTATGTGTGCTCTGTTGTTGATAATCGGCCGATAAACCTGTAAACCATCCGCTCATACATCGAAAGCAACCAGCACCACCCAATCACCCACCCACCCAGCCACCCACTAGGGACTCGTGAGCAAGTTTTTAATAAGCGTCGCGTCGTCGCCTCATTTTTTTTTTCTTCTTTTCTTTTGAATTGGACTCGGCTCCCTCTTTTTGTTATCGGCAGTCGGTCGCTGACTCCCCGCGACAAATACTTCAACGTGGATTAGCATTTTTATTGTGGCATTTTATGCAGGATGCGACCTATTGTTGTAGTTGTTCGTGTTGTTCTTGTAGTTGTTGTTGTCGTTGTCTCTGTTTCCTGACAGCCAAATGTGATGCGTGTCCCAATTTTAAATTGTCAACGTTAATTTATGGCCGAGATGATGGTCGATGAAAATATTTGATTGGCTCTTAAATGTAGAGACCCAGGGAATAAGGTCGAATGCTAGAGCAAAGTTCTTAAGCCCACATATCTAAGTATGTTGTACATGTGTGCGGGTGGTGCGGGTGTATATATATATATAGGTCACTAGGGATTACATCTAGAAAGTTAGGCGAAAGTAAAAGTTTATTTATATTTTTATCGCCTTATTTTTAACATAGCTAAAAGTCAATATTATCTTGGATTAATAGTTTCAGTACGATAAATACCTTGAGATTTGCCTCATTAAATAAAATATTACTTAAAAGTCTGCTGACAGACTGATAGATATGGCTAGATCCACTCGATGATGAAGAATAGAAATATAGAAATATTGTTGGGGGCTCGGAAATACTTGCTGCTCAACAAAATGTATACAATTTTATGTTACCCTTTTAAATGAGTTTATTTTTAATGAGTTTGGGGCATAAAAACAGCCTTCTAGTAAAAGTGCTCATGGCACATGTTTGTATAATATTGTATGTGCATATGTACTTTTCAACTGTCCCGTATCCATGCCGCCCGCATATTTGACCTTGGCCGGCTGTCCGTCAGGGGCTACCCTTCACACATCTCAAGCAGATTGCGACATTGACATTTCCATTAAATTAAACGTTCCACTTGATTCTGGATCCCTGCTGCTGCACTGCAGCCACTACAAATGTCAACGAACTGTCAAATTTGTCAGCGCATTAAGACTTGGCTGCTGCTTCACCTTCCTCTGCACTTGGCAGTTGGCTTCGCGTGGCATTTGCTGCATCTCATTTCGGGCTCATTACGTTATTAAATTAACTTCGGAATTATCATCATTGGGCGTACGTGCTCCTCCTCCACTCCTTCATTGCCCATCGTCAGCCCATCTCCCAATTATGACACTGTAAATTTGCATGGCAATTTAGCTCTTTGGCGCCGACACGCTTCAAAGTTATAATGAAGCGTCACTTTTTGTCTCGTGTCTCTGATCTCTTGTCACTTTTCGCCCATCAGCAGTCGCTGCTCAATTATAAAATCATTTCAATTCGTTCGTTGACGTCGTCATTGAAATTTCATTTGCTTCATCCACATATTACATGCCACAAATTCATCTCTGATAGAGTCCAACGAATTACTTTGCTTTACAAACGCATTTGCTGTTGTGTTTAAATATTGTAAATAGTGTAATTCCTATTGAATTGCTGAATATATTTGAAATGATTTAACGATATTCTATTGTGTCATTCATTCTTCACTGAATTCCACAATTTCTATTTACGCATGCGATTCTTAACCGTTATGAGTCAGTCGTTCAATAAATATAAATTTCTCTTTTGGAACGATTTAGCGATTTATAATGAGTGGTTTTTCAGAGAATTCAAATTTTTGTAAATAGCTTTTGCGATATCCAAATTGACGTTAATAAGACCATTGGAATCACTTTAAATTTTGGATGTTTATTATCAAGAAGTATTAGTGGAACAACTACATATAGATATATGTATGTATGTACAACAAGAATAACCGTTATGCATATAGTCACTTAAAATTCAGCTGATAAACACATTTTTAATTACAATTTTAAAATCCCATTATTATGTTTATGGATGATTGCTGGTTTGTTGGTTTGTTCCCCTCCTTTGTTTTATATATGCTGAGTTTATAACTACTTATTGCTAACAATATTGCAACGCACTAACCTTTTTTGGGATCCATGTTGAACTTCTTGCGTCCGATGGACATCTGTTTATCCTTGTTGGTTTGCCTGTCTTCAGGCACATCGAGCGCCTCCATTCCCGCAACGACATCCTTCAGCTCATCTTTGATTTGCTAAAATCGAAAACCAATTCATTAAATTAAATTAAATCGAGAATTTAGACTTTTATGCACAGCTGGCGGAACTGCAGCCATATTATGAGTTGAGTATAAATAGATATGAGAAATTGTCGAAATGCATCCTGTAAATGCTCGTATAATTTGCGGAAATGTAGCGGCGACAATTGTTGCTAAAAATACAAAGTAAAACTGTTTACGATATGCGCAAAACTCAGCAAGATTGGCTGTTAAGCTGCATTCACAAATTCACAAATTCGCACTCGTATTCACTTTCGCATTCACATTCACATTCATGCGAGAATCATTTGCATGCTTCCAGTGACTGGTGACTGGCGCCAAATGGACGAACGAATTTCGTTTCACTTGAAATAATTTTGTGATCTGTTCAAGTGCTAAAAATACAGATACAACCACAACAAAGTATAAATTTAATTCATAGCGCATTTGATTTAATTGAATTATATGCATAGTGAGAGAGAGAACGAGTACCTGACACGGCATGGGTCCATTCTTGGGGTCAAAACTGTGAGCTCTGTGAAAGAAGACCAAGAAGACAACTGAGCATTCGTTCGACTATTGTCAAAGTAAAGTCATCGTGTAATATGCATTCAAAGAGGCGTGACAAATTTGTCAAACATACAATTGAAGTGACAACAACGACAACGAGGCCGCTCACTGCCTGTAAATGTATCTGTATCTGTATATCTATATTCATGTATCTGCGTATCTGTAGCACATTTTGAGATACAGTCGCTGCACTCAAGAGTCTAGTTATTTGTCAGCCTGTTGACGCTTGACTGGCGAGAGAGCCACGAGACCGGAACATATCAATTGCCCCCAAACATGAATACATACACAATACACACATTCCCCCTGCACTGCGCCTACATGACCTTCTGACTCATTTGCTCAGCCAAACATAGAATATATTTTCTATATATATATATATATATGCAAATCGGCAGCGGAATGCCAATTAAATGCGATGAGAAATACAATTGACAACAAGAGCAGCTTCATTCCCAAGATCGTTCAGATTCGTTGTCAACTTTTAAAGTTGTACGATGATCTCATTCCATTGGAACTTTACAGCATATTGACCCCCGAGAATTCTATAATTTTAGATCGTTTTAACTTTATGGGAGTAGCGGCGAATAGGGTTTTTACTTTTTACATTCAAGCAAAGCCTTTTGTTCTTTATAGGCCCTGTCTGACTGCCTATAGGCAACTTACAATTATCTGGGTGTAACAAAAAAACCGTTTCAGACAAACAAATTTATTTTTCTTAACGGCAATAAAAGTTTTAAGAAATTGAACAGAATAAACATTCGTTCGTAAAGTACAACAAATAAAAATATTGAAAAAAAGAAGCTTAAATATTTAAGAAACATTTTGTATATTATACGTGAAATGATTCAATTTTTAAATTGTTTCGATAGAGAAAATTCATCAACCAAAGCGGATAAATACAATACAATGTTAAGTAAGTTATTGTTATTTATTATTTATTTACTTCTTTTTGATTTCCAGTGATAGGATTAAAAAAGTGTAGAAGTCTCAACGAATGAAACTAATAAATGTGTAAACAATATTAAAACCAATGGTTTCTAAGAAATGGGGGGGATCTCGCAGACCTTATGGAAGGTTAGTGCTTATATTCAGTTTGACGCGTGATATCTTTTGGGTCGTTGCACTCATCAAGCTGCGGTGACATTTCGGAATTTTAATCCTAAAAGCGTGACGCCAAATCATACCAAAAATATTTCAAAGTCAATCACATATTGAATGGGCAGCAATTTTTGAAGTTCAATAAATCAAGTGAAGTCATCGATAGTTGTGTAAAATTAAGCTACAACATAGTTGAAATGTCAAAAAGAGCAATAATAGTTTTATGCCCACATTTTATGCTGCATCCCATGTACAATTCATATTTGACAGTTTTATAGCTTCGACTTTTCTCACAGGCCCTAAACATAATTAAGCATATTCTACACTGCTTCCGTTGGGCATTAAAACCACATAAAATATTGAACAAACCTTTCAATTAGTGGGCAGACAGTCTGGGCTAAAAAATAAATTATGTAGATTTACGAATTTTCAATAACGATCGACGATCAACGATCAACAGGGATCCATATCAATATAAAAAGGGCTTGAGAAAATATTTCAGATTTCATAGGAAACTACCCAAAGCTGTTCATGAAAAGCGAGAGCGACTGAGTGAGAGAGAGAGCAGAGCCAGAGGGGAACTGGTTCCGAGACGGCATCGCTAATGAAAGAGTAGCAGGTGGACAAGGGTTATTGATAGCGACCAGGGCAGCAGCGGCAGAGGCAAAGCTAATGAACGTGAAGCTTTCTAATGAACCCGCCACAAAACGACGCAATAAAGGCAACAGGTAAGCAAATACCAAAGGTGTGAGAACACGTACGAGACAAGGAAGTCCAATGGTCTGTGCCATTCAATCAAGAAACCAGTTTCAATGCAATGCAAATCCATTTCAAAAACAAATATCGAACAAAGGCAATCATGAAATCAATGCGAAAATCGAACATAACACACTTTTCAAAAGAAACTATTTAAACTTTGTATGGCAATTAACCATAAGCATAAAATACACAATTTATTACATCACGCGTTGTTGATATCGTGGAGTTGGTGTATTTAAATTGTTTGCAAAGCATAGTTAATATGAAAAGTAAATTGAATCATTGATTAGCTATATTTATGTGTATTGTGCTCTAAAAATTGACCAAGAAAGGGAGGTAAATAAATTCAGTGAGTTCAATGTTATTATCTGAATGAAAACTATCAACTGTGTACAACTATCTATCTATCTTTGAGATACACATGTATATATCCGATTGCATACCTTTGGTGGCTCTTTGCTTAGCTCGGCATTGTTGCGATTTCGCCATTTCATGCGACAACTGTCGCAGAGATTCGCATGTTGTTTGTTGTTGTTGTTATTGGAGTTGTTGTTGCTGTTGTTGTTCAGCTGTTTGCTGCTGTTGTTATTGTCGGCAATGTTGCCGCTGTTATTGTTGGTTGTCGCCTGACTGATGGAGTTGCGCTCAGATTCACTCTGCGAATTGGAGCTGTCATCAATGAAGCGCAACTCACCCGCATCAGGTGTCAACGGTGAACTGAAACTCGAATTGATATCCCTACATTCCGACTCCAGCTGCAGGGCAACATTATCGATGCCATCCTCGATGACGTCCAGCATGCAGCCAAACGAATTGGAACGCGGTTTGCGTGGCACTTGTGGCAAACGCTTTGAGATGATTTCGCCATTTTCATTCAACAGCAGCTCGACGGGTCGCGACACAATCAATGTGCGTGTCGTTGTTGTTGTTGTTGTGTGTGTTTGCTGCGTTCGCCGGCTGAAGAGCTGGGTGTTTGGCTCATCGCAGGGCAGACGCAATACGTCCACTTTGTGACTCACATCGCTACAGCTAACGGTCTCCGTACTGAGCGTGGGACTCGCTGGCGGCGGACTATCGGCTCGTAATGCGGTCACATTATAGGTGGCCACACTGGAGAATGGTGACAGCGACGGTGAGCGGGGCGAACTTGGTGTGTGTGGCACACTGGGCACACTGGGCGTCTTCACTTGCACCTTGGGCGTCACAGTATCCCTCTTATTGTTGCTGCTGACAGCAATTATGCTGCCCAGATTGCAGGCACAGCCCGCACAGACGGTGCTGCTAATGGTGCTGCTGCTGCCCTCGCTGCTGTCCAGCAGATGACACTGATCCGCCTTCTGCGCTGTGATGAAGAAGGTGCTGCTGCTGCGGCTGCTGTCCTGCGTCGGCGTTGTGGCTCCGACGATGACATTGCTGCTTAGATCGAAGCAACTGCGCTGCAATTGCTGCTTGCTGCCAAAGCTGCCACCGCTGTTCTTCTTGGGTTTCGGTTGGCGGCGCAGCGAGCTAAACCAGTTGCTGAAGCTGGGACGCTTCGTTGTCGACATCGTCGTCATCTCTGACCGTCAATTGTTCACTTCCGTTGGCGTTCAGTCTTTTCTTTTTATGGCCTCTTAATGTGCTGGTGCAACCCGAAACGGGTTACGATTTTAACTTTAGATTCTTGTTTTTAATTGTTTTTTGGCTTCTTCATGGCAGCAACACTGAAAATTTGAAGAGTTTTTTTTTTGGTTGGTTTTTTGGAGGCATTTTCATTGGCTGAACCTGCCGCAATTTACAAGTACAAAGGGCGCGACGACGTGTTGAGAAATTGTATATATATATATATATATGTACATATGTATACCATAAATTCATTAGCTAATTATTATGAAGCCTAAAAAGTTTGCATGAACAGGAAGTGTCAAGCAGGACACAACCTCAGGAATTGAATTTGTTGTCATCGCTGTTCACACACACACACATACGCACACACACACACACAACATTTTACGGGTTTCCCATGGCGGCAGTCAAAGGCAGCGTAGACACAAAACAAATTACGCTAATGGCACACAGGTTAAGTAGGTGCTGGCGTTTGTTAATCCCAGCGACAGCACGACGATAAGGATAACGACAATTTTTCACATGGGTATATGCATGTGTGTGTGTGTGAGTCTGATTTATAAAAGCAAACACTTTGCAGTTTTCAGACGTTGAAACAGGAACAAATTGAAACGAACAAATTCAGTGTTCATTGTGCCCTCCTATTTCCTGATTTATAGCGTTTCTGTCTAATGCCTGTTCTCTCTCTCTCTCTCTCTGTTTAATTCTTCCTCTTTCCCTCTCCATCTCTCTCACTATGTCTGTCTCCATTTGTGTTTCGTTTCGTTTCGTTACATTTAGCGGAAGGAAGTCTGTACGATAAAGCTTGCGAATTGTTTTTGGACAGCAACTCTAATTGGGGGCATGTTAGCCATGTGCCACCAACAATCTCCATGGCAAATAATGGATGATGTCTCGGTTTAAGTCGGTTAGCCAACAAAACGCACTGAGCCATACACATGCAACCATTTTCCTTCCTTTTT